TTTTGAGGTGTTAAGGTGGAGGAGTGAGGGTTTAGCGCGGGTTTAGGATGCTTGGATTAGGTCAAGATTTTGCTCTTAGGTCAAGATTTTGTTCCAAAAATATCTCCGTTAACAATAATTGTAACCATTGCCATGTCTTTAAAGATTGAGGTGGAGGAGTGAAAGCTTGAATACTCATGTAATGATGAAATCCCTCTCAATCATGAGCATTGTTTTGAAGGATGAAGATGGAGGAGTGAGGGTTTAGGGGAGTGCCCCGGCCCTCCTAGTTCGCAAACTAAGCAAGATATACTAGACTCACCTGGAGAGCCTGCACAGCATGCGCTCATTTGTGATGAAAAAATGAACTCAAGAAATAAAATGAAAGAGGTTTTGCCAGGTTCTACAGTAACATAAAACCAATAAGGAATTCACCCCCCCCCCGACAAGTAACACCCAAGGCATGTTGGTTTTGCAAATATGGTCAAACTTTTCAAAGCAAGAAGTACATATTAGTAGGGGAAATGAGGTGCATGCGTGTTGCCGAGTACGAGTGTTCGAAAATACAAAACAGTGCACGCCCACAGTCCCCCAGACTCTTTTCAACATGAATTTGTTTCCCTTTTTCGTGTTTATTGTCATCGCAAACATGCAGTAAATACCAGCATTCGCGTTGGACAAAGCCAACTACATAAAAATGTTCGGGTGCCGGCAGCCCCCGAATGGACAGAGCGCCCCAATGCATCCATGTGGGCGCACAAGGCGGGTATACTTCAGCAAAGCAAAAGGGCAACCCAAAAAAGAAGAATCAACAAACGAATCACAAAAACGCCCAACAACCAACAAGACAGGGGTCCCAGCGGCACGAACCAGCGGAAAGTACCAGCCAACAAGCACGACAAAGCAGGGGCTAACTACGCCATCTGCTGTTTCATATTGCTTCGACAACATGGCCAAGAAAAAACGGTATGGGCTTAAGTTTAACTTGACTCGCACTACCCCACATGCTTCAACAAGGGATAACATGGGCCAAGCGGGGGGGGCGACCATTCTTGAACATTTTGGTATTTGCTGATTTGACTGCGCATGTCTTGTTCTTTCACCGGGCAGCTTTGCATTTGTCAACGAAAAGCTGGAGTTAAAAGTCTTGGAGGTTTCCTTGTGGTAGCCATGTTTCGCAATTTAGCGGTAACAATCACCAGCTACATTGGTTTGTTGGTGGACATGACATCTCGGAGAAGATCCCGGCGTAGTTCCAATCATATTGCCCCTGCTTCTGTTGATGTGAGAACAACGTGATGGTTGGCCATGGTTACTTAGCTGCCGGCCTTCTTTCGCACCTGGGCTTCCATTTGTGCGGCTTCGTGTTTTCCAGCGTTTGGTAAAGTCTCAGGTTTCATGGTTGTTAGGAATCGAACTGGCCTGTGAGTGTACGCTCGCCCCATGTACCCCATTGTTGCAAAGGTTTTAATGTTCTTTTTCAACGCTTGAGGTTATTACCCGGCGTGGCGCTTGCAGCTTATGTCGCTGAAAATGCAAGAAGACAATTGCAAGAACTTCGCATTGTGTTCAGAATCATGGGTTCGGAGGTTTTTCAAAGTTTGGGTTTTGGAACCAACGATCGTGGCAAGGGTGGGAGGGGCATGGTCTGCGTGTGTCAGTGCTGTTGTTGACCCTGTTCAAGGTTGGAACGAGCAAGATGTTCCGCAAGGCTTCAGTGCGATCGCAAATTGCCGGCGTGCGCGGGTCTACTCATTGAGTTGCAACCGACACACACACATGTTGCATGGCGGCATGTAACTATGCAAACCCGATGTGCAACTGCGGAAAGTCTGGATTCCGCATCCTGCGCCGTGATGACATTGTTTGTGCAGGGCATGTCGCCAAGCGAGGCTTGGCTGTGCTGGAGTGCCATGGTGTGGCTCTCAGGATCAAAAGTTTGTTCGCAGATGTTGCGCCGGCTTGTTGAAGACCGTGCAAATGGCCAAAACTTCGGACATGGTGTTGTCATGCGCCTTGGTGAAGGGCCTCTAAACTTCGGAATGTGTTTCATGAGAGTTTATGAAAGATGATCAGAATGCGCAGGTGGCTGCCATATCCCTGCCTTTGACTTGCGGATTTGTCGGCCGGCACAAAAGGAGGCCTACATGATGCCTGTAGTCACTGTATGTCTGTATGTCCTGCACGTGCATTTTCATGGGGTTCGGCATTGCTGAGGGCTGTGGGAGGAGTGACTTGTATATTTTGTTTGAGACGACGCTCCGGCTTGCGAACTCACGATGCCCACCTGCAAGGCTCTCCTTACTGGCAGAGTTTGACACCAGCAACTTGCTTGATGGAGCCAGCAGGATGGGCCATTTCTCGAGCGCTTGTCTTTTGTCTTGTCACATGTGCGGACCAAAAAGAACACTGGCACAGCCTTGCGCGGCGCAACTGATGTGCAGCATCCGTAAGGGTTGTCGCCCATGACGTATGCTGCAGTGGCCCTGAGATCTTGTGAGCTGCTGCCCAGTTGTTTGTTCGTGCAACGCAGGAATGATTGGGGCTTTTGGATTGTGCAATTGCACATGCCGGGCCCCAGCATCCACCAGGTGTTTCGTGTTGTTTTTTCAATTGGCCAGAAGCGAGTTGCGCTGTTTGATTGACCTGTTGCAGAATTTAGCTAAAGCCCCTGGAGCCCCGCATGGTTTGCTTGCCTCACCCTCGCACGTGCCTCTGTGGCTTCCGTCAAGCTGATGCTGGTAGGTTGCAGTTGAGAAGTCTTGCAACGACATGTAGATGGAGCGGAACACACCGAGCATTCCCCACTGCCTCACCTTCGAGTCATCTGCTATTTTATGGCAATCTTGTGTTTCACGAAAGATTGAGCATGCAGAAACAGTTTGCCGATGCAGCTGGCAGTTGACAGATGGCTGAGCAGCATCCCGACCACATGCTGGTTTGTTTCCTGTGGGGAAAAGTGCTAGTTTCCTTGGGTCCAGCTCTTCACCCAGCCCTGTGGATAGCAGTAATGTTGATACGTTGTTGATTGATGTGGGTACGGTTAGTTTCTCCGCAAAGGCCATGCAACAGCCAAGAGTTTGTGATCGACGTGGTGCAAGTTTGCAAGTGATCGTCGTTACGTGTTGAGGATTGCGAAAGGCCGGTCGAGAATTCGGCAAGGAAGGGTTCACCAGAGGCAAGTGCAGACTTCCAACTTGCCCTTCGACATTCTTCCGATTCCTGTGCTTCTTCCGAGGATCGATGAAAATCTGCGACTAAAGTCGGAGAATCGCAAGTTGGAGGCTGCCAAGCTCCGTGACCATGTGCGACTTCAGGAAGGCTTTTTGTCTGTGTCGCATTCAGCTCTTGCAGGAGGCCCTTGCCAAGCTGGATGGTGAGAACCGCCGCTTGCTTGAGCGGAATGACACTTGGCAGGGGAATCTCAAGTTTGGCACGGCTTCAGCCATATATAGAGTCTAAACACATCGTGTCATGTTATTCCCTTTCGTGACTGGCATTGTTTAGCCTTTCGTTCCGTGCACGAAATGTTCGCGAATATGAGTGCCAATCAACACCACCGAGCGCACGAAGAAGCCATTTGTTCAGGAAGAGCTGCAGCTCGCATACGACGAGGCGGACCGCGATGCCAGGGAGGCGGAGGCGATCTGTTTGTTGTTGTCTTCACGGTTCCTTGGGTGTGTAGCCGCTTGCTGGCCGCCGGAGCTCAAAGATAAAAAACACATGAAGTTGACACCAAATGTGGTTTCTTGTGGCATCATCCAGTGGAGATGACTCTTCCACAAGCAGTTTGCGTTCGACGAGTTGAAGTCACCAAACCTTTGATCCTTCCGATCAGAATCAGACAACGTCTCGAGGAGAACGGGTGAATCTTTGGGAAGCCAGTGCTGCTTTTGCGTCACAGCTGTTCAGTGCACGCCCGATCCCGTAAACATTAATTAGTTGTTACATCACCGCACGTGGACGATCAGACTTGCTGCTTTCAGAATCGTTGGAAGAACAGTCGTTCTGCTTTTGAAGTTCTGCAGTTGAATCTTGCAGGGGATTTCTACAGAACTTTGCAGCTGCTCGTACTTGTAGACAGCCTGATTAGACTTGTGGACGTGGGCACGCTTTATTTTGGCCAGTTTAATGTGAAAAAACGGCCAAAGATGCCAAGAGAGATCTCCAAGCACGCCCGTCCATCGTGTGGGATGGATATCGGTGCGTTCGTCATGCCACATGGGCACATGATGAGTATGAACATTAACGATGGAGGGGCCGCTTGTGCTACATTCACCATCTTGATGCGTATAGGATACTACCATTCCACAGAATTTCAGCATCTTTCAGCAGACTGCCAACACGTCAGTATTTGAGCTGAGTTGCGAGGTCCGGAAAACGTTTCGGTCGAAGTTGTTGATCAGAGTTCAATTTTTTCGATTCAGTTGACATTTGATGGTTGACATTTGTCAATCCTGAAAGGGCTTCACTTCGTGTGTGTGGACACTTCTCTAGAAGCTAGAGGTCAGACCTCAGCAAAAGCGTTAGACAGGGATGATTCAGCAGGGGGAGGAGTTGTCGCTTCAGAGTGGTTGCCTAAAGGCTGCGTTGTGACACAGGTACAAGAGTTGGGATGCCGACCTCAGGTACCTGCGACTACGAGTGCCGTGCAGTAGCATGAATAGGGCACGCGACAACCGCCTAAAAAGCAAGGCACGGCGATGCCAAGTATGTGTGCGTATATATATATACACATGTAATGTATGTATGTATGTATGTATGTATGTATGTATGTATGTATTTATGTATGTATGTATGTATGTATGCATGCATGTATGTATGTATAGTAGGGAGCACATGCTTGCGAAGATTGCGCCGGATTGCGTGTTCACGAGGCCATGAATGGGCACCTCCTGCGACGTGTAGAGGAAATGGAGGCCGATGATTCTAGAGTTGAGAGGTGAGGTGCTTAAACTCCAATCCAATGCTAAATTGGGAGTCTGTGCAGACAGCTTCTGTGACTGCATTGCACTGCAGGCATGCTGAGATGCATAATCCTGGTCCTGCAGGTGCAGATTGCGGCCTTGAGGCAGTACGAGGCACGCTGCAAGAGCTGGATTTCCATTGGATGAGGCAAGAGGTGCGGTAAGAGGTGCAGCTTCGAGTGCAGTGTCTCTGAGCTGTGAAGCCGCAGGCGGAGTTTGACAAGCGGGTCACCTCCATGCTGGACGAGAGAGACGAGGCGGCGTTGGCAAAAAAACTCACCTTATTCGCCCCATGGATTCCGAGCTGTCCCTCAAAGTAGCAAAACGCTGCTTTCTTTTTGGTTTCTCCTCCCTCAGGCGTTAAAGAGAACAGCCTTGGAAATCTCCTTGCATGCCTCCCCAGCTCCAGCCTGTCAGAGTCGTGCCCAGCATGTTCCACAAACCTTCACTTGTGGCTGGCGTGTGGCACATTGTTACCTGGGCTTTCCGAAGCCAGGCCTTGGCTGCCTCCACCCGGGACAAGGAAGCAATCCTGCTGAAGGCCTGAGAAAGTTTGGGGTGTTTGCAGATGTTTGCATTTGGGTTGAAGAAACAAGAGAAGCAACCAACAATCCAATTTTGATGGAAGCCTTGTGATTTGTACAACCTGCTGTTTGAGACTCGTTCCGTGACAGGTTCGTTCAGCAAACATATCCTCAAAACCACACTTTGGACATCTTCAAGGGTCAACAGCACGAGGGTCACATGACTTCTGGCTGGGTCTGCTTTGCCGCAGGCCCTAAGAGCTTCCCATATCGACAATGAAAGGCATGCAGTCAAGTTTGAGGTGGCAGCATAGAGAGAAACCGTGCCAGGTTTCAGGGTTTAGGGTCTAGTGTGTAACGGTCCTAGTCCTAAAATCCTATGATCTCGGATGTGCAGGGTTTAGTTTTGGGTTTCAGGGTTTTGGGTTTCAAGGTTTGGGCTTTAAAGGTTTCAGGGCGCTTTAAACCTATGTCATGCCCTCCTGCTTCGGACCCACAGGGTGAGGGTCATAGGTCATAGGGGTAGAACTTGGAAAGGGTCTTCGGGTTCACGGCTTCAAGGCTTCATTGGGTCGGGCTGCAGGTGTATTCAAGGTTTCAGGACTTTCGAGGTTTCAGGGTTTGGGTGGTCAAACTCACTTCCTGTTTTCCCACTGTTTTCTGATGACTCGTGCTGCTTTGTTTTTCTAAGTCGGGTATGTTTGGCTATCGGACTCGGTCCATCCCGTTGTCGACTCATTTTCCGTCATATCTCACCTTGTAACTGCAAGGTCAAGGAGCTGCAGGAGGAGCTCGCGCTGGCACGGCGAAGCACCCCTGGCGAGGCATCTGATGCTGCCGAGTTGGCGCTGATGCTCAAGGCGCATTCATACATGGAAAAAGGAGATCAGTCTAGCTGGGAGCAATACCTGTACATGCACGATGCCATGCAGCAAAGATGGTGTCTGGCCACGTTAGACTGAGACTTGACAGGTGGAAGCTGAATCTTCTTGTGGTGTTGCATTGTGACAATTGGGGTTTTGGTGGCTTTGCTCTCTGGGAGAGTAGAGCTCAAGGGCTACGATTGGATGTTGGATGTCCGGTTGGGGCTTGTCTCGGTGCCAGGGGGTGTGATTGTGGAACCTGCTATTTGTGTCGGGAGAGCAGCAAAGTTGCTGGTGACAGGGGTGTTCGAGACCTGGGCGACCAAAAAGCATCTGGCCACATGTGTGCATGGTTTTTCCTCCTAGGGTGGACAGGAGTGTGGGCTAGCAACGGATGAGGTTGTGGAAACGTGAGGACTGTGCTCCTGCAGAGAGATATGACAAGCATTTGTGGTCCCCAGGAACGACAGCTGGAAATCGAAGACCTCCTGGATGCTTGCCCTGAGGGGCCTGGGATTTCGGTTTCGTGCATGGGTGGATGCCACAGCCCACTTCGAGGCTTGGAGGCTTGTGCGAGGTACTCCAACTGGGCTTGTCCATCTCAGGATCGCAACGAGGAGCTAGAACAAGATCTGGCCAAAGCACGGGAGGCCGGTGAGTGAGTGAATGGGGTGCCTACATCCACATAGCTCTCAGTTGCTTAGGATGTTTTTCAGGAGCTCCAGCGTGCCCCTCGACATGCCCCTGCCAGCACCGGCCCGGGCCTCAAACTCACAGCAGGGCAAAGCAGAGCAAAAGCAGAGCCAAGCAGAGCAAAGCATGACAAGAAGCGCTTGATGCTGAAGCTTGCGAAGCCGGCAGAAAGATGCACAGATACACTCGTGATAAACCTTACTCAGGCAGATGCAAGATCTCAGATCCTATTGTTGAGACTGGACCTTTCAAGGCACTCAGTTGTCTGGCGGCTTGGACCAAACTTCACAGGACCAGTACGAGGCGAGGCGCATCTGGGCTCCCTGCCTTCTTCTTGCACTAGTTTTGTCCTGCGGCTAAGTAAGGTTCTGTGCGACTTGGACCCCAAAGAACGGTTCCCACCCCGCTAATCGCCGAGAAAAGCCTAAAGAGAAGGAAGGGCGCTGAACCGCGCTGAGATGCGCGATGCGATCCCCTCTCAACTCGCGGCAGGAGCGGCTCCGCCACTTCAAGGCCGACGCGCTGGAGAAGGCGCGAGAGACGGTAACAGGATGATCGACGCCTTCGGGCACGGAAAGCACCAAGTCAAGATGTTAATGCAGCATTCCAGCAGCTGTGATGCCATGTGTGATCGGTCCTGCCCCCACGGAAACTGCGGACCCGTGCGGACCCGTGCGGACACAATCCAAAGTAGTCACGAGGATGCGCGCTTGCTGGACGCGGAGAAGAAGCTGGAACAGCTGGCGAGGAGCCTTGGTGCAGAGGCTCCTGGGCGAGACAGTTAGATTCAGTTAGATCGGTAGATACGCCCCCTTTACCTCGCTGCCCACAGCAGGAAGCTACCTGAAGGTTCTCAGGTTCCCGAAGGTGAGGTGTGCAAATTGCTATTTTCCTGTGTAGTTCTTTGCTGTTCGTATGGCTTCGTGTCTCCCCAGAATTTAGAGCGTTAGGTTTCGTGCTTGTTTGGGGCCCTGTCACAGCAAATGCCAGGGCGTGGTTGCGGAGAACCGGGAGCTCGCTCGCCAAAACTCGGAGATGAAGCGCCAGGTGTCACGACCGAGGGACACGTTTTTGGCAAGGGACATATTTCGATGTATTTCGCAGGCGCCAGAAGCCCTGTTTGAAAACGGTTGTGAATTTGCGAGTAGAACGTAGAAACGCCGAACGTGCAATAATCTTCTGCGTGGACTTTCTCTGAAGGCATGGACAGTCCAAAGCCGGTCTTCTTGAATTTAAGGTACTTGCCAAGCTTGTTCATGACTTTCTTTTCTTTTTTGTTCTTGTTTGCACCAACCTTCTCCCAAGCTCCAGAGGTCGGCGAGGCCAAGCGCGACCTTGCTGTCTACCTCTCGGAGGCAGTTTCCCAGCTTAGGGCGCCATGGCACCCTTGACTTTCTCTGCGAAGCAGAGCAGTATCCACCCATCGAATCGCGGTGTGTGCTTGTAAGATTGTGGTGTCTCGTGTCGAGTGGAGGCAGCTAACATCGTGTACGAGAATGACCTCCTCCGTAGTATCGCCAACGTGTACCCTGGCAAAGGTTGCAGCTCAACAAGTTGATGAAGTCGTGGCTACAGTGTAGCCGGTGAACACAGCTCATCTCGCCACTGGAGCCCCTGCACTTGAGGAAGCCCGAGCAGCTCAAGCTGAAGGACTTCAAGCTGAAGGACTTCTGGAAGCATGCGTTCCGCCGGACCTGCTCTCAAGAGCTATTTTTAATGGGTGCACATTGTTCAGCCCTTTTTCAGACCTTTCAGCTGGAGGACAAAGTGACCTCAGCCAAAGCAGTTGCTGCTGTGCCTTGGAGTTGCAAAACCTTCAGTCCATCTCAAACTCCAGGCCCCATATGGCCTCATGGAACCAGGCCCAGCTTGAGAATCGTAGTACCGTCGTGGTACCGTCGTGGTACCGTCGTGGTAGCGTCCTTTTCCCTTCGCGGGGCTCGGCAGGAGGGTCGTCGGCCTCTGAGGTCAAGCAGATGGAGAAGGAGGTGGCCGAACTGGAAGCCGAGCGTGGGAAGCTGAAGGCTGACCATTGCCAAGCACAACTCGCTGAAGTTGAAAAGATCTACCGACATCCCGGCATCCCTCCATCGCAGGCTCGCCTGCGGCAGCTATCCGAGCTCGCAGCAGAGTGCCTCGCTTGTGAGCTAATGCCCGGCGGTGTGCTGAGCGTCAGAAAGCTGTTGAAACAGTGGCCCTCCCTCCAACAAAGATCAAGCAGGGCTCTTTCGTTGGATCGCTGGGTACGACGTGAACGCATCGTACAACTTCACATCTGTACAGCGTGTTGCTGAAACGAGGAAAGTTTCCCTCCTGCACAACCTGCAACCCGAGCAGATGCTGCAGTTGGAGGAGTTCGTTCATTCATGCATTCATTCATGCATTCATTCCTTCATTCCTTCATTCCTTCATTCCTTCATTCCTTCATTCCTTTGCTCATTCCTTCCGTCAGGAGATTGCAGCCCGTATGCGGAACGGAAAGTTGGAGCTGCCATTGGACGACTCTCAGCCGCATTGAAAGCTGGAGTCGAGTTCCGTGTGTGATCCAATGTGAGCGAATCCTCACCGCAGTGCAGACGGAGAGTACGCGCCAGGACCAGAGCCGACAGCTCAAAGAGGCAAGGGGTTGATTTCAGTGATCAAGGTTGCACCCTCGCCCGCAGGTCTGTCACGCCGCGTTGCGAAACGTATAAATTCGACGAAACCCTGAACTGCCCCGAAAAAAAATGCTCAATTCCCGCAGGAGCGGGACGAGCTTTCCAAGCGGCTGGCCATGAAAGACAGGGAGGTGGCCGAGCACGTAGACAGGTCCGGGGGCTTGGGGTCTTGGGGGCTTGGGCGGAGTTCTTGCATGTTCTTAAGTCCTTGTGCTTTTCAGGCGCAGTGAGGGCTGTCGGTCGCCGGAAGGGATTCTAGATTCTCGGCAATTCGGGGCTTGGAATTTTGCATGAGCTTAGGGCAGTTTAAGGGGCTCGTTGTTTTTTTGAAGAAGCAGCGAATGCAACTACTTTTCAAGGTTGACATTTGTATAGCTTTCGGAGCCCTGTGGTGGAGGTTTTGGACGGTTGGTTTGGAGCCAACGTCCCCACTCCCGCACCCAACTCATGTTTCCAGGAAGGTGGAGGAGGTCCTCAAAAAGCAGGGAAACACCAAGGACTCCTTGGACTTTTGAGGCTTTGCACTGTGCAGGGATGCGGTTGTCCCAGATGTTGCGGCATAGGCTGGCAGCGGTTGTGTAGGGACGAAAAGTTTTGAACTCCACTCAGGCTGGAGGGGCTTAGGAGAAAGCAATGTTTTCTAGGGGGGTCAAATGAGCTGCACCCAGCTGCAACGAGCAAGAAGCTTGAGCGTCTACAGAAGAGTTGAAACTCTCCTGTGTCAGCGTGGTTCCGGCTTAGAATTGTGAGTGCAACCCGTAAACCGGGGCAAGTGCACAGCTTGCAGGACCTTGAGGCAAAGGTGGCAGCCCTGGAGAAGGAGACCGCGCACCAAAGCATAGTGTAAGCTCGTATGCCCTTTCTCGCAACACAGTCGACGTTGTCACTTTTTCGTGGCTGCCTTTCCTGCCCAACAGCTCTGCATGTCCATCTGGCGGCATTTGGGCATGCCAGGACAAGGACATGCTCCAGTCATCCCTAGAGGCAGGACAAGCTGTGGGCCTCATGGCTTCTAGGACGACTTCGTCACCAGGAACTGTCCAATGTCTTCCGGTGCGCTTCCTGCCATGTTGTCTTGAGGCCTACAAGGCAGGATATGCTGATCTCGTCGCGCTCCAGGACCGAAGCAAGAAAGCAATTGATGTTGCTCTTTATGTGGTGTGTCTTGAGGGCTTTGGAAAGAATTCTTCAGCTCTCTGTGTCTCCCAGGGCCCCCAAGCTTTGGAGCAGCTGGTGGGTCGGCCTGGGCCTCTTTTCTGTTTCGACGGAGGAATACTTCGAAGTGCTTTGCTCTTGATCCCCCACCGCTCATGTTTCTCTGCCCAGCGTGAGGTTGCCAGGTTCCGTCCGGCCGCCGCTGCCGCCAGGCCCGAGTCTTGGACGAGCTTGACGTTCTGACACTGCAGATTTTGCCGGCAATTTGTGGTCAGAGCCGGGAGGAGAGAAATTCTCACAGGGGATTTTACGGTTCTTTTGGTCTTTCAGGTGCTGCGGGGCCTGGGCGGCCACTACCGCCTGGGGTAGCCCCGCCTCTGCCACCTGGCCAAGGCCCCGTGACACACCGTGACCTGAAAGGGACGAAAGCGCTAGACAGCTGCTGAGCATGGGTTTGCTGCCAACTTGTTTTGGAGAATCTGACACCAAAAGCCAGGTCTGGGTGCGCCAGCTGCCAGGGGCCCTGTGGTATGGCAGCATCATGCAAAGTGCTGTGCAGTTTCATCTTTCTTGGCTGTCAACTCTGTACTCCTACTGGGGCTCCCACAGCCCAAAGGTCCTGCCCAAGATCCCCGGGATGCAGCCGATGGTCTGGTCCTCGCTGCTGCAGGCGCGGCCATGAGGTCTGGTTTTTGGTTTTTGGTGGCAAAGTGACGCAGTGTGATGTCACGCCATGGTCGTCTGTCGCAGGCCGCACTTCAATTGTCAGGAGCTCATTGCATGGTGCTAATCAAGTTTTTAACAGTTCTCGCCAGTTTTCGTCTCGGTCGACTTGTTGATCCTGGAGCGTATGCATATGTATGCATTGATGCTACAATGCTCTTTCGAGGCCGGGAGAGCTGGCCGATGGCTCGCAGGAGACGGTCCTTACCTGAGAGTTTGCGTTTGTTTCGCTTGGGGCATAGTCTGCGGTGTAGTCTTTTCGGGTTGAGATGTCGCGTCACTGCAGGAGAGGGAGTCACCCAAACGGGGTCTGCCTGAGGTCTGCTCACTCTATTGCCAGGTGGTGGAAGCTTTGGAGGCCGGCGTTTGGGGTTGGTCTCGTGTAGTGTTCTAACATCAGCTCCAATGGAGCAGCTGTGGAGTTCATCGTGGCGGTGTTCGTGCAGGTATGTTGCCGTGTGGAGTAGGAATAAAAACAATGAGCTCTCCTGCCTCTGGAGTTAGCTTGTGCAGCTTTCAGGAGGCTCTTTACGCTCACTGCAATCTCTCTTTGAAGCCATCATATGAATCTCTGTAGAAGCTTGGGCGTGTGCTTGAGACCTGTTTAAGTCTTTGGGTGCTGTGTGAGGAGCTCTCGCGAGAGCGCTCCGTGCGCGAGGGGCTCGCTGAGGAGGTCTCGGTTTTCCAACAAAGGCCTGGGGGGGGGGGGGCTCTCGCAGTCAGGAAGGCAGCTTTTGACAAACCGACAGAGGGCTTGCCAGTTCTTCTTCTTGCCATCTCGTGAGCCCGTGTCCTGAATTTCAGGTTTGATCGCCTCCTTGCAGAGCAGGAGGTGCTGTACAAGGCGCCGGGCTGCACCCTTCATGCAGATGCTCCGAAGCAGGGTGCTGCCTGTGTGAGGATTACTTCGCACAGCGAGAAGAGTGGCTGGTGCCTGGGACGCTTTCGGGGAGTGATGCTTCATATGTCGGTGACTTTCTGCCTCAATTCTCTGAGGACTGTGTCGGTCACATGTTGTCATTCGCAGCTGTCAGACAAGCTGAACCTAAAGCCTCGACAGGGTTTTCTAGCGCGGTTGTCGATGAATGTGGCAAGGCAGCAACCCGGAGCCTCGAGGAGCGTCCCTGGGAAGCATTCAACAGATCCGTGGGATCTGGGGGTGGGTTCCGAGGTTTGGGAGCACTGTATCTCAGAGTTTGCTGTGCTTACAACCGTGCGTGAGCGGAACCCAGGCTTGCGGCTTCAGGGAGACCTGCTGACAGCTTCTTGGCCTAATAAAACAAAATTGCCTTCTGGGCTGCTTCGCCTGTGCGCCAAGGACAGCCAGAGGAAGTGTGAGATCCAAGAGGACCAGATTCGAACCTGGAGCCTTTGCTGTACCAGTAGCCCATAAGCCTCTGCAACAGAAGAGATGGGTATTTTACGGTTTTTTTTTTACATGTGGTTGAATGTAAACGGGCCCCAAGAGCGATCCTCGGGGAGGCAGCGCCTCGAAAGCGGGGCTGCGCCGGAACTGCGCGAGGAGACAGGGCTTGGGCATGTTTGGAGCTAAGGTACCTACGTTAAGAGGGCTCCGCGCGAGGAGGTTGTTTCGTAGTTGTTTCGTAGCGTTTCCTTCCGTTGCTGGGACCGCTGTCGCAGTGATTTTTGTTTGGAAATGGTATCTTCCATGCGTGTGTTTGGGATATTCGGGCGGGCAATGGCAATGGCATGTTGAAGCCTGAGGCGTGAGCAAGCACTACATCCCTGCGGAAAGCAGGGGGTGCACATGCTCGGGGGCAAGAGCCGAAGACTGGGAACGAGGGAGAGCGGGCGGCCTGGAGCACATGACATGCCAGTGCACCACACGTGGAAACAAGAAGTCGCTAGCAGTGCACCCGCGTGATCTTGCTAGGAGCTCGTCTCTGCTATGGGCCGCATTGCAGCGCTGGAGCAGAATGAGAGTGCTGCCTGGCCAAACAGAGCCAAGTAATGAAGCAGAGCTGTTTATGGGAAGCAGGGTTGTGAAGTCAGACAGACGTGGGCCCTCACAGCTGAGCAGATTTGTGTTGTGATTCGTCCATTAGGCAAGCTGGAGGTTCTGGCAATGCAGGGTAGCACCACTGCCTCAGCCAAGGCTGCAGGACCTGGTGAAAGTAATTTTGTTTTTTGCGTACTTCAAAGCCCTTGAGAGGGCTGATTCTCTAGCCGAGGTCCTTTCCCGGAAGGTGGAAGCAGAAAGACAGAGCCACAGCATCGTGAAGGAGGCCAGGGCCCAAGAAAATGCCTTCTGGTACAGTGGTAGAGGCTTCCCACCGAGCCTGCGTTCGCCAGTGCAGGCCTTTGACAACCTGCAGAAGGACTGCTGCGAGCGAGAAGGCATGGGTGTGGCTTCAGGACTAGCACAATCCCTCAACCAATGACAAGGAATCAACACGTGAACGACATATGATTTCTGGAAGCCTCTTAAGCTCCTCTTGAGCCTCTAACACCCGTCTTTGATCTTGCTTGTACCGCTTGAGGCTTCCTCAAGGAGCGCCTTTCGAAGGCAGTGACCTGGAGAATCAGGCTTTCTGGAGAGACATAGAGTCATAGATGCCCTTTGCATTCGTAGGATTTTGGACGGTGTCGCTTTGCTTGCGTTAGAGCATTCCAGCAGAGCCTCACAGAGATTGTCAGTCGAGTAGCGTTTAGGGTGTTCACATGTGTTCACGTGTGCTCACTTCTATTTGACCCTCAGTGACTTCTTGTTGAAGGCTCTGAGGAGCACCCGACCTTAAAAGTTGAACTCCAATGCCTTTGGTATCCACCCAGGTACTCTGGAAGAGACGTGGGGCCAATGCCCTGCGCATTGCACGGCGGAAGATCCAGTCGATGGTGGAGCCTCGGGTTGACATTGGCATTGCAGGGCCCAGCCAACTTTTCGAAGCTTTGATTCATTTTGAGAAAAGCAGCTAGTAGCAGTTGACGTTGGAGACCCTGAACAAAGGCCACCTCAGACTACGAGCGGGCGCAGCAACAGCTTCAGGCTCTGAGGGTCGGGCAAACGACATCCCACCATCTTAGATGCCCCGGCCCTGATACCCAACCCGAAGGTTTGTCGCCAGCGCGAGTTCGACCTCTCCAGGCGGCAGACAGAGCTGACCTTGAGACTCGGCTTAGTCTCGTTTTTTTTTTTGGTGTGTGTGTGTACACTCCTGATTGCAAGGGATGAAGTAAAAATAACATGCAGGGGGCACCCTGCCTTTCCCTTCTCCTTCGGCACAGACTCGCCTTCCTTCGAGCCTTCCTTTAAGCCTTCCTTTGCCTGGATGCTTGGTTTCGCTGAACTGGAGATGCTGTAGCCTCCTTGCCTCCCTTCCTTGTCCGCTGCTGGGTTTAGGACGGGTGGTTTGATTTCCTGGACCGTGTGATTTTCCTGAACCGTATCCACCCGCCGTGCCCCCACTGGAGTCCCGCGGCAGCTGTTGGGCCGAAGAGATCCATCTCTTTTTTGGATCTCTCGCTACAGATGCACTGCTGATTCGCGTGCAGCTTTGTGAAGCGCTCGCTGAGCCTGGGGGCATGGTGAAGGCCACTGCGGCCCAGCATGCCATTGCTTTCACTTGCAATGCGACGACTCTCCGTTGTTTTGCATGTGCCAGTGCTACGGCTACCGTGGTTCTTCCACGTGCGGCTGTGGTGCGGGTCAGGGTTTTGCAGCCTGCCGGATGGCGTCTTGACTACCCTTATGCGGAGCAGCTTGCCACCGACTCCATATTTTTTGATATGATTTCATATTACTTCATATATTCATATATGCATGTTCGTTCTTGGGGTCCAGAAGACAATGTAGACAGCAGCTGGAAAAATCGCCAGCCGTGTTTCGAGGCCAAGTCATCTACTTGAAGTATGTGCCACTGTAGTGGAGTTTTCTTCTACCTGACATTATAGCAGTACTTCTTCGACATTTGAGAAGATTGTTGCAGCAAGCCGACATTGTCTTGCTCGTCTCCTTCTTTTGTTCGACATTCCCTAGACTTCGCTATCAACTCCTGTAAAGAAGTCGTGTGTGCTTTGAGTCGCACCTTATGGGCAGACGGCACAACAAGCGCGTTTGACCACCCATCTGGTGTTCAAGCGACGCGATTCGGAGCTCTGCATTTACTGAGCCCAGTTCGGCCGATATGTATATAGCATTGGCTTGGGGTCCTCGGTAATCCGCCCTGACTTGTCAGCCATACCTGATGCCGCAAACAGTTTGAGTCGGTTTCGCTGGATTTCCAGAAGCACAGCGACTTTTGGTCCACTTCAAAAATAAGGGCGGCTCGAGAAAACCGATTCAAGATATTAGAGACTTCTTTCGAGTTTAGGTTCGAGTCGGTGCCGTGTGCAGCTTTAAGTATGAGGCATTCGGAGCAAGCATCTTTGAGATCCATGCAGCTGCTTCAGCCTTTTAGTGCCATCTCACGAGCGCCTTCTTGACGCCGAGGAAGGTGGCCCAGCAAGAAGACAAGCTGAGGGCATCTTGGATGGCATTGTATTATGGACATGAGAAGACGCATGAAATGGTTCCTGCAGCAATTTGTCACCTGGAGGAGATGATGGATCTTCAAGATCGCTGCGGCTTGACTGCATTGTCCAAAGAGATGCTGAGCAACAGCCTCCTTGGGATTCAGTCGGGCCCAAACCCTATGGCAGTTGCACTGCAGTGGTATCGTCCGGGTTCAGAGGTTAGACGCTTCGGTTGAGGGGCAGTGGGCCCCATTTGCAGTTCTCTGACCTAGCTTCCGTGCGAGGCAGGAATTTGGATCATCTGGTCAGGGAGACGGAGCAGGAGATGCGGTCTCTGTGCGTATTTCATAAGTGCGAACAACATTTACACAACATAGGGGTTTCCCGGAAGGGGTGGGATTCAACGGAGCCTTGGTTTGCGGTACCTGGCCAGGCGAATCCAGCACACTCACAGTCACGTGTTACGTGACCAGTTCTCCTGCAACCGTCATAGTTGGTGTAGCCCTTCCTGCCAGCCACTGCAAATCATGTCAGCATTTGCAAGTGGTAGCTGAATCAAGAGGGCGTCGATGTTGAAGCTTGTGCATGTCATTATCATGTTTGGCTTTGAGTCTCTGACAAAGTTTTGCTGATGTGTGGGTTTTGGGCTTGCGCTAGCCAAGAGTCCCCTGAGTATTCCGGGTCGGCTGCAGGGTGCCAAGCACTGCAAACACTGATATTCACAAACCATGAGGTGTCCTACGCTTGAGGCGCAAAGACCCGAAAGCCTGCAAGGAGTTCACAGTGCTTCGCCGCCGCCTTCAGCTGCGAGAGCCACGCTTCGCCGCTGAGGCCGACAGGGAAGAAATGAGAGATGCCGAGAGATGCCGAGAAATCCGAGCAGATGCCGAGCAGCGGTTCGCCCCGAGTGATGTTTTGGGTTCGCCGAGTCGTTTCCTGACTCTGCTGATGGGGAAGGCTGCCTCACGCCGCCTCCGTGGCTGTTTGCGTGAGTGAAGGAGATCTCTATCTCTGGGGTCCTAACTCCTGTGCCACGGCCCCTGAGTTGCTCGCACCTGCCGCCAACAGCCCCAATTCCAGGCCTCGGGGCCAGCGACGAGCGCACCCTAGCCTACCGTATCCGGTTGCAACCTCTGCCAAACTTGCAGTTGCACTGCCGCAAGCTTTGCCGCAAGCTTCACAAGCTCCCCTTCCCCGACACCTCAAGGCTCGCCTAAAATCTTTAGATCAAACACAACCATGTGCCTTGCTCAGCTCATGCTCGGCTTCAGGCTTCACTCAGAGGCTCTTCCGAGCAAGGTGCGGAGACGGCTATTGTGCGCAACCAGCCACCAGCACGCTTAAACACCTTCACCTTCTTTGCCCTCTGCCAAGAAGATGGTTCCACCGGCAGCATCCTCCGTCCTTGGCCCAGGAGGAGGAGGAGGAGGAGGAGGAGGAGGAGGAGGAGGAGGAGGAGGAGGAGGAGGAGGAGGAGGAGGAGGAGGAGGAGGAGGAGGAGCTCAAACCACCTCGTCGTCCCTCAGGACAGACAGGAATGTCGAAGCTGCAATCTCTTAAAAGCCTGCGCTCCCCTCGTTTCGGCACCTCCAGCCCACCAAAGTGCGCCGTTGGCCGTGTGGTCGGCTGCCAAAAGCAAGGACTGAAGGACTGTTATCTGAAAAACATCCCGAGGCGGCCTTGCCCCTGCGATGGAGTAAGTCTTTCGTGTGAAGGGGGTATGGTACATGCTCTTAGATGAGTACCAGGTGCTTTGTTTGCGGCCCTTCGCGTCCCGATGTTTCTTGAGCACTGGGACGTTCATCCCTCAGCACTGGCAGAGGGCTTCGGGAGTGTGAGTTCCTTGTTTGGGCCTTTTCGGGGGAGTTCGGGGCGCCTTAGCATATTTTTGTTTCCTCGTGGTCTTTGTAGGATGTTAGGGTCCCTCAACCTCTTGACAGGTTGCGCTCTTCACGCGCCTGACTGCCGACGCTGGGCAGAAGGGAGTTTCGAGATTCGCTTGAAACGGCGTCCACTTAGAATATGAATTTATTATCAAGAAATGTCAGCAACATTTGCAAGACACGGAGTATTAACAATATTTACAGTGATACACGCAGGGCACGGACCCCATCGCTCAGGAGCTGCAGCGGACCCTGGGCTTCGTAGGGAGCTTCGAGGTGCAATGCCGTTAAATCCGAGGGATAGTGCGCGCGAAACTTTGGGAATGTATTTGCAGAGTACAAGGCTTGTGTCTGGATGAGAAAGTCATTCGTGAGGAACGAGGGAGAGTGTGCAAGCCTTTGGACCTCTCACAGTCTCACGGCATATGTGAGGCTGCTGCCCGAACCTTGGGTCTTGCCGAGGTCGGGGCCTCAGAAAAATTTTAACGCTCCTCCCCGTGCCTGGAATCTCGAAGCCCGCCCTGGACTGCAATGTGGGATGGCATTGTCTTGCAGCTGAAGGCCAAGGCTTAATCAAGCGCCATGTGTCAAGTTCTTTTTTTACTCATATTTTGGATCGAAGGTTCCATGCCCGAACCATAAGGATCTCAAGAATGCCATCAGCAGGTGACTCAAGCAGAGCTCCTGCCATTTTAAAAATACTGTCCACGCACATTCCATACGGCTCTCGGGTCTCGGGAGCAGGATCCTTGACCATTGCTCAGGCCCGCATCGCAGGTCTCGGCTTCGAGGCAGGAGGTCGAAAAAATGCAGTGGGGACGGGGCTCTTCCTGAACACTTCGAGAAGTGAGAAACCATTGTGGGTTCATCTTTGGGGACGGTGTCGTGATCTGCTCGGACGTCAGCAGGCACTGGGTTCGGCCTCGCGCAGAGTCACAGGGAATCCAAGAGCTGCCATACACCCATGCTCATCAGAAATTGAGTGCCATGGCTTTGAGTGCAAAAGCATCAAACATCCACGATCTTTCGCGATTTCTTGGGGAGCGCGAATCTATCTGAAGAGCTGTCCTCAAGAATCCCGAAGCACTGAACAGTCTGTAGGCTTTCAGCAGTTTAGGAGAGTAGTTCACCCCACAGCTGCAGAAATTTTTGCTTATGGTCATTGCACCGTGAAGTGACAGTGTGCCTTTTTTGCAGCTTTATTCTCATGTTTTCTTGCAGTTTGTCTTCAGTGCTCTTTCCAAATCGAAAGCAGTGATTGCCACGCAGTTTTTGCCTAAGAGGCTGGGGCAGCCATGAGCGTCGAAGCTTCGTTGGACGAACGGCTGCGCTGCTCGGCAGCACAACTCTAACAATGTAATTGGTTACTAGGCTCGCAAGACCACCTTTCCAGTTTCTCCTCCGGCGCAGCGGCAACCCGATCACTGCTCATGGCAAGTACCGGCCGACAGCAGACGCGTCAACACCGAGGCAAGTTCGATGTCAACAATGATGGGTTCATTACCCTGGGGGACCTCCGCAAGTTCTTTGAGAGCTCCTCGAAAGAAAGATGTGGTCTCGAGTTTTCAAAGGTCCGTGTTTTGGTTTTGCATGCCAATCCGAGGCCTTGCCATCAAGATCAAGGCCTTTGCGTGATGGGGCTTTCACGGTTTTTAACTTGATGGCGGTCTCCTTGTCATGCCTTTGCCTTTGGATGTGCTCCCTCCCAAGTCACTAGGGAGAGAACGAAGCCAAGATTGAGACTGTACTAGACAGACGCGATAACTGGGTGTGAAGTGATCGGTGTGAGGATATGATTCTGATATGAGTTTACGAGCCACTCCAAAGGATTCCATTGATGCCACGGCGCCCCCGAGTCTGCCAGGACGACGAGCTGCAGCTCCTGGCAGAAGCCCTACACGGTGCACAGGCAGCCACGCCTCCACGGCCGCCGCCCAGTGCCCCAAGTGCCCCAGGCAGTGGGACTGTCTTTCCGTGAGGCTTTAGCTCTGCAAGTTTTCATGCGAACTAGAACACAGAGCGAACTGAAGTGAATGTACAGGGGGCAGCTCTCGTTGCCAAAGCAGCGCCTGAAGTGGAGGCATGCCTAGCCCTCCCGCCCCGCCAGAGCCAAGTGCTGCCGACAAAGCGTGGGACTCGATACATGGTGCAAAGACTTGCAAATGTTGAAGCGAGCGCTGCCACTTTCGAAGCAGAATTAAGTTCTGCGAGGTCAGCGTCTCGGTTCTCGGCGTTGTCGGCCGTTTCAGGCCCGGGTCGCCAGGGCACAATGCGGGTCAGTGCGGTTTTCAAAAGGATCACAAAACGGATCATAAGGCGGAGCACATGTTTTTGGGACCTCCGAGGCTCTATGGGCTGCGGTCCCTGGAGCCGGAGGAGCGGCTCGCTGCCCCATACCTGCCCCTTGCATCTTCCCAAGATCCTGCCAAGGTCTTTGCCATATTCTTTGCCATATTCTTGCCATGTTCTTGCCATATTCTTGCCATATTCTTGCCCTATTCTTTTCGGCCTTCTTCTCTTGGATGCCCTCTCTCCGTGAGAGGCCCAGGATGGCCCAGGTGAGCCTTGCCCCCACCTTTCGGGTTCCCGCTGGGGAAGGCTGTTTCCGTCACCTCTCGGGCATGCCACAGATGATTTGAGCTGCAAAAAACTAATGCCGGGCTCATCGAGTCCAACGGATGTTTTGGCACTCTTGGGCTCTTTTTGTCCGAGAAAGGTGTTGGCAGTTGAGAGTCCAGCGGTGTTACAAAACGCTACAAAGATGTCTCTTGGCAGAGGGAGAGTTGTGAAGTAATTCGACGTAGAGCGTGGACTGAAGCCTTCGCCACCCAGAATGCCAAAATGCACAGGAACTCTTCTGGGCATCCTTCCAGGCGCTTCTCTTCCGGCTTCCAGACCAGTGCCTTGGTCTCTACGAAATTTAAGGGGAGAGTTTAGAGTGGTTCTAAGATATTTCGGGGGAGGTTAGCGTGGTTCTTTGCGGTTCTAAGAAAGGTAAAGGTTCCTTTGAGCAGCGCTGCAGCTGAGGCCAGACGCCCAGCAGGTCCTGCGAAGCAGCTTTCTGCGGCTTCGCAATGCCCAGGTCAGGGGGCATCCGTGGACGCAAGTAGAGGGTCCGCTGGTAATTCCTGAGCCCATGGGCTTGCTGCTCTGCCTCTGCACTGCCTCACATAGCCAATCTTGGGCTCAATGAAGATTGTCGTGTTTTCCAGTTTCTTTAGTTTTCTGGCCAAGTGTCGGTCATTTGACCACACAGTTGGCCTGTGCTCCCAAGCATGATGTCGTCACCAGTGCGCTGCAACCGGAGAGCTCCGGATCCGCCTACCACGGCTCTGGCACCTAGGCGAAGTTGCACTTCCAAGGTTTTGTGATATCTCAACATGTCCAGCCATGAGGTGGTGTTCTCAGATTTCGGCTCATACTCTCAATGTCTTGCAATGACCCAAGGCGCAACACGCGGAGAGACTCCGCGCCCCGGCCCGCTTTCGGGTTCTGACAGTTCTGATCAGTTCTAGGATCGAGATTGCCAGAGCCCACGACAGTTTGCAAAAGCGGAATGCTAAGGCAAAGTGCGGCGAAGTTCTACTTTTGAGCTGCTTTTTCCAATGTATGTGGTTCCCGTGGATCATGTGCTCGAGATGACTGAAGTCAAGTCGCATGAGGAGCTGCTTGCCGAAGGCACGTTGGTGGAATTCGATGAGGACCAAGGCTATACGATCTTCATTTCCCACGAGTGGTCCGGCACCAGACACGCTGACCCCAAAGGGGAGCAATTGGCAGTTTTGCAGGATGCCATAAAGCACATGCTCAAGGAAAGAGATCGGGTTCCCATTGACGTCACCACGGAGATCTTGTTTGGACAGCAGCGTGGCCTGAAAACCAACGAGATGCGCGGAAAAAAGCTGTACATTTGGTTCGACTACTGGTGTGTGCCGCAGCTGCAACTCTCGGTTGCTGGACTGCATGCTACAGACCAGCAGCACGCACTTGACAGCATTCCGGCCTATGTCGAGAAATCTCGGTACTTCTTCATCCTTTGTCCGTATGTCCGCCACCAGGAATCAGGGCAGCTGCTGAGCAAAAGGAGATGGGCAGAAAACAGTTAAAGCACTGCTTTCTTCACTTTGTATTTGACTTTTGGGGGGGTTTCAAAGTCCGTCTTCTGTCGGGCTAATTGAACTTTCATGTGATGCCAGACTTTCCTTCTTTTTTCTTTTCTGTGCGACAGAGTAGGACATGGGCAACGCGGGGATGGTGCCGTCTAGAACGCCTTGCGAGCCAGCTGAACGTGTCGGAAAACCGACAGTTGATTGAAGTGCAAAGTGCCAAAATTCAGACCATGATTATTCCCTTCGAATACATCCGCGAGCCTGTCGGCGAAGGAGTGTTCACAGTGGAGGCAGACCGTTCAAAAGCTGCTGCCGTTGTGCGGAGGATATTTCAAAACAAGCTTGGATACTTTTTACGACGTGGCAACATCCACAATTATCGGGTGCTGCTGAACTTGCAACGTGTTCACTTCCGAAGCCTCCCTCTTGAACCCTTGGATGATGTAATTCCTGGCTTCCAGAGTGATACCATGGATCCCGGAACCTTCTTCTTTGAGAACTTCATGTATCAAAACGGCTTTCGCAGTGTCTTTGACCGCGATGTTGCTGGGTGGACACCCATCTGCTATGCAGCCTTGGGTGGAAACCCAATGTTGATTCTATCTCTTCTGGAAAGGAGAGCAACTCCTTCAGACTCGATCACGAAGAGTGACACCCATTTGTTCATGACATCGGGGACGACTTTGCTGACAATGTGTGTGTTTCTGCGGAATCATGAGGCCTTAAGGCTGCTTATAGAACACAAGGCAGATGTGAATGCCACTGATGGCTTCACCTCCACGTCGATGCACTATGCATGCGTAAACCACAATGCACTTGCCATACAGATTTTGCGAGATGCTGGGGCCAGCATATCGACGCAGAACAAGTTGCATCACACTCCTCGCATGCTTGCTGGGGGTGCAGGTACCGGAGGCGGTTCCGAAGATGTGATTGAGCTTCTGCTTTGCAATGCACCTCAGACAGAGATCAACTTCGCTTTGCATTATTCTATCCTATTCGCGGGAGCTTGTGAGGATGTGGTACTCGCCCTAATTCGTGCAGGGGCAGATATCAATCAGCAGCTCGTCCTGCCGCGCTTTAGTCCACTTGGCTTAGCCTTTGCATATTTCAGCTGGCGTCATCGTTGGAGTCCGACAGCTGCAGCTTGACCACAGTTTGCTGCCGTCTCCTAGCAGTTGATGCCATGACCTCATTCCCCTATAATTGTTGCTCTTGCACGCCTTTCTCTTTTCGATTTCGTCATGCGCGTTCCTGCCAAGGTTAGCTACTACGCGCTGCACCATTCCAAGGCCACTCCCCTGATGTGCTGCATCGTCTGTGGCTGCTTTGATGCAGCAGCCGCTCTCATTGCAGCCGGAGCTCGGCTCGACCTCAAGAATCATCGTGGGAAGACCGCTGCGGATTTGGCCCAAGAGAATGGGGCCCCGGACTTTGTCCTGGAAGCCCTTCAGCTTCGACCACCGGAGTGTGTGCACCTGGCCCAGGGCACGCTGTCTGCGCAAGTGTAGATTCGCAGCATTTCGCAGCTATGTGCTCAGTTCAGTGGAAGAAGTTCCTGTCTCACCAGGCCATCTTTCCCTCTGTCGGCAGCTTGAAGTTGCCATAGTGACTAGTAACTAGTGACTAACTGTGACAATGGGGCCATGTTCCTATTTTGATGAACGCTGTGCAAGTGCCTTGTCTGCACTTTGCACTTTTTGCATTTTAAATACTTTGTGTGGTTTGTGCTGTCTGCTTGCCTGTTTCGTCGTGTTTCACCTGTAGCAGCCCGTGGTTTGCTATGCGAGTTCACAGACCAAACATGAGATGCAAAAAAGTTGCTGCTTTCCCCAGATGGGCCAGCTTATACAGTTGCTTACAGAATTCTAGCTTCGAAGAAGCCTCGTTATCGGTCCTTCAACGAGGTGAAAGACATACCTTTCGGGCAGCCACCAGTTCAAAGTTGCCTCAGGGAGACATTGCAGCTGCGGACGTGCTGTCCGTTCTAGCATCCTACGAGGTGCGCGTCAGTCGCGAACGGCTGTTGAACATGTCACACTGTGGCGTTGCCAATCTGGACAGTCTAGGGAGCCAACCTTTTGCCATGATTTCTATGAGCTACCGCGGAGCAGCATGATAGCCCATGGCTTGGGTCCTCTGAGGCCAAAGTCGCTTTAAACCCTGATACGAGCTATGCTGGAGGTCCCTGCCAATCAGTTGCCCTTGCGCAGTCTGCGGAGAGTGCTGCAATGGCTCGGAGTCGAGGCGCGCGTTCTCAGGTCCCTAGTCCTTTTCGTCCACTTTCGGTTGCCTGCGAGCTGGGTAGCACTGCTCTCTCGAAACCCACAAGCCTGAGAGTTTTCCTTTTTCTCCAGTCGCAACCCCAAAGCCCCCAAGTAGCCCATGTGCTGCAAAAAGCTGCCACGCAAAGAATCCTGAGGCTCGCAGCCTTGAGGAGGTATTGCCAGCAGCACAGCTTCCGGGACCCGGGGATGCCCAGGAGCGCAGCTCGAAGTTTCTGCTCTTGTGTGTGTCTTTTTTTTTGCAATTTTTCTTAGGCGGTTGCATTTGTTTTTCAGCGAGGAGATGGGGCTCAGTTTTGTTTTAAGTTGACAAGTGGGCTGCTTTGCAGAGTCACAATGCTACCTGGATGGCATCGTCGGGTGATCTGCCGGCTTCCTCTGTGCCTCGCAGCCGCGCCACTTGCGCCACCTGCCCTGGGGCCCTGCCCGCGCCCACATGCGCCTGCGCGATGTGTGCCACCTTCGCCGCACGGCTTCATGCAGAGGGCAATCCAGTTCTTGGCACCTTGATGCATGCGCTGCATCTCCCAGATGCTCATGCAGAGACAGACCCCCCCATCCTTGAGCAAGCCATCGCGAGGGCAGTCTGTCAAGCTCTGAAGTTGGAAGCCTTGTACCTGCCAAGCTGATCACGTACGTCCTGCACGAACTGTTTCAGCACAAGCCACATGCAAAGCATGCTCCGAGATGCCAAAGAACGCCAAAGAACGCATGCCTTCCCAACAAAGGTTGCTTGGAAACGACCAGCAGGTCAGGAAACACTGCCAATTTACAAGGAAGTGTGCTTCGGGCGTTGGGCTGGCTGTTCTTCAGGTTGACACTGGCTCGGAAGCTGCGTGCAAAGTTATCCACAGTCCAGGAAACGCACAGGAAAGCTGGCGCGACGCCCAGAATTGAACGTTCACTACACATGGCAGCGTTCGCCAAACCGTTTGGCCGTCGCGGCCGGGGGTCGCTTTCGGGGAACCCTCTCAAGCGTGGAGGAGAAGAAGAAGAAGAAGAAGAAGAAGAAGAAGAAGAAGAAGAAGAAGAAGAAGAAGAAGAAGAAGAAGAAGAAGAAGAAGAAGAGCGTGTCATACGCCCAGCAAGCAAGCAAGAGATAGAGAGAGAGAGAGAGAGCGTGGAAGGCTCCTGCAAGGTGGGAGACTTTTGCAACAGCCTCGTGTGAGCCCAAGCCCCGGACCTCCCCCCCTGAAGTGTCGTTGCAGTTGATATTCTTAACCCAGTTTCGGTTGTTTGCAGAGGGGGGAGAACTTAACTTACACATCAAGTACCAAAACACCAGTGCCAGGGCAATGTCCCGAAGAGCGGCAATAAGTCTTGACGAGGTGTGATCATTTGCTATGTTGTCACGGGCTGGTAAGGTCGTTACGAATTTTTATATTGGAAGCCGCGTCGCACTGCGCAACGGACAAACATGATCACATTCATGGCGAAATTTCACCACGTGAGTATCGCATAGTACAAAGTGGAGATCCAATATCGTGAATGATTCTCACGCTTCAAGCCTTAGAAGCTGTTCAGGTCGCAACTGCTTAAGCTGCTTAAAGCCCTTGAACACGAAGTGACACGAAGTGACAAGGAGCCTGAGTTTCGGCTTCGCCTTCAGAAGCTGCGCATCGTCTACCAGGAACCTTCCTGTTTCTTCTGGGGAATGGGGGTTTCCCTGAAATGAGCTCACCCCAGTGCACGTTGATTTTGGCGAGAGACTCTCATCGCAGTGTCAACGGACTTCTGAAAAAGAAACGAGCCGGTCGACGTCAGGCCATCTGAGCGCACTTCGTTGCACACTTGAACTTTTGAATCGGCACCAGACGTGCGGAGGACTTCGCGCAGCGCCTGGAGAAAGGCCTCGGCCGGGCACAACTGCAATTGCGGCCTCCGGAGGCGGAGATTCCAGCTGCCTAATCGTCAGCAGGCTTCTACGGACAGCGATGTGCAGGCATTGGCGGTGCCTGCCCCGCCCTCACATCCGGTGGACTTCGAGGCAGGAAGCCCGAGTTGGGTCATGGTCACAGCCTGTGTTTTTGCATGTTTTTGCATCCTCGTGCGTCCTCTTGCATTCCTGTCAGGGTTTGTGCTGTCTGCTATCACTAACCAGCAATGACGGTAAGCAGCCATCACAATTTTCGTGTCAGTTCTTGGTTGGCACGGGAGGCTTCAGAGGAACAGGCAGTCCTTGTGAAAATTCGTGAGAGAAATATCGTTGAACAAGTGGCCTGAGGCTCAACGTGCGGGCAACAGCAACAGCAACAGCGACAGCAACAAGCGACAAGCAGCAACAGCAACAGCAACAGCATGCTGACAACCTGGCCGATCACCCTCGGCGCACAAGTGAGCGCAACAGACTGCAACCTTGACCAGCAGACCGCCGAGAACCTTAGTCAATCGACTTTGCTCGATACGGCGTAGTGTCCAACAGTGAGAGCGCGTGCTGCCATCGCCACGCGACCGTGAGGAAGAACACAGTGCAGTTCTGCCAGGAAAACATAAATAGATATTGAAGCTTGATGTGTCGACGATCTTGCAGAGCAAGTGAACGAATCGCCAACCCCTGATGACTCCCGACGGCGGGGGACGGCCCCGTGAGGCTCTGCGCTCCCAACCACCGGGTGCTCCAAGTAATCGCCACCAGCAGCAGCAGCAGCAACGACGATGACGACGACGACACGAGGATGACGACGACGACGACGACGACGAAGACGACGACGACGACGACGACGACGACGACGACGACGACGACGACGACGACGACGACGACAACGACAACGACAACGACAACGACAACGGAACGGCATGCTGCAAACTCATCACAAGCACACGACAGAAAAGGTTTGGAGAAACTGTAAAGCCTTGCAGTGCAAAAGGCTCGCTGCCATGCGGCGCAGGCGCGCGAGTCGGCTGCCAACAGGCTCGGCATTGGGACCTATAGACTCTTAGCCTGAGCCCTAACGCAGACAATGTCAGAGACAGTTTCTAAATGCTTGGGGCAGCTTCCCGTGACCCCTTGTGCGAATAGCAGCTGCCTGCTGACAGGCGGTGTGTGGTCCTGGAGCAGGCTGGCGATCAGCCGAGTTCTTGTGTAGGGACTCTTTGTCAGATCGAACGTCTGTGGAGTGGTGTGTTCAAGATCGCTGTGTCTTTACATGTTTTCGACGTTGGTGCATATATCATAAAGTGTTGGGTTGTCGATTCAACATGTTTGTGGTGCAACGCGACAGTTCAAGCGGTTTAACTCGGCACAGGAATGGTTTCTTTCCTTATGTCTATTCAGTCTTGGATTCTCGGCGCAGTGTGGTTGGGTTTGAAGGAACCGACTATGTAAGAGAGTTCAAACCGGAACTCGTGCTCTGCAGGAAGTTCGCACGAAGGATCGCATCGCAAAAGAGCTGCAGCGGCAGGTGCATTTGCCGGGGCTCCCGCAGAATCTTTAGAACCCGAAGCCGTGAGGCTTCGCGGGTGTTCAGGGGGGCATGCGGCGACATTGCGAGAGGTGGGAGAGCTGGACAGCTTGGTGGAGCGCTTGGAGTCCGAGCTCTATGAAGAGCGTGGTAGCAAAGTGAATCTGATGGCTCCTTGGCAGATGGGTGGCGGACATCTGGGGGGGCCACAGGTGGGACAGTGACTTTGTCTTTTGTGCACTCGACTGGCATTTGCCGTCGACTGACGTCGGAAGCAGCACATAGACGAAGCGTGAGCTACGGTCAAAGATATCCAGTTCGTGGGTCAGCGTGAAAAGGATGGCAGGACGACAGCGTCCATGGTGCAGAAGAATTAATTCTTCTGCAGCTCGATTGTGTTGAGCTCAATTTTGCCCGCTGATCTGAGGCACAGCTCAACGCCTCCGTGCCCAAGGCAGAGGTGGATCCCAAGCTGCGGCAGCTGGAGGCGCCCTCGATTTGCCTCCCCTCTGGGACCTAACAATTCCTTGCACGATCCCCATTCCCCGGAATCCCCAAGCTGGTTCATTCTCTGGTGCCTTGTGTGCCGATATGCCGCAGGAGCTAAAGTTTCAGGTGGAACAGCAAGCGCCTCAGAGAATAGGTTCGCAGGTTCAGATGCGTGTTGCCTGGCTGACATGCAAAGACTGCAGGGTTTTGTTTCTGCTTGTGGGCCGAGGTCCAGCTTGGCACTGAAGCAGTCCAAGGAGATGCGGGGGGGCTTGTGCAATGAGGGAGTGGACTCAACATACCTTCAGATGAGTTGGTAGGCTGAGGAAGGTTGTTGGGATAGCCCCGAGACTGCGTGTTTTGACGAGGATTTGGCTCGCGTATGTGCTGCTCAGGCGGGCTATGGAGACACGTGGAGACTCAGAGTCATCAAGTGCCATCTACTTTAATTTTAACGCTACGCGACCCGCCTCGGCTGGGGCCCGTGCAGAGGTGCTTGTTCTGCTCGTTTGGAGCGAAATAAGGAGAGGGAGCGTGGGAAGGTGAAGGCCAGTGGAACGGACGCCGGCAGGGGTAAAGGCAGTTGGGAGTGGTGGGGCGGGCGGTGGGGGGTGCGAATGCTGCTTTACTCAAGGCTCGAAGCGACTTCTACTCCACTCAGCGAAGCTCCGCTTTGCAGGCTGAAAGCTACGAACAGCTCGTCAAGCGTCGGCAGCAAGAGGTGAGGCACCTGCAGGCCCATTCCCCAAAGCCCCAAAGCCCCAAAGCCCCAAAGCCCCAAAGCCCCAAAGCCCCAAAGCCCTAATGCCCCAAGGCCCAAAAGCCCAGGCCTTTGTCATACTCAGTTTCACCTGCGGAACTGCGATAGAAGCCTTCTAAACACAAGCCTGTTCTAGCACAGGTAAGGCCAGATAAGGCCAGGCAATTGTGAGAGCTGACAGTCGAGTTGTATCCCGTCCCTTCATCTTTTGGCAAGGAGTCCGTGAAGATGCTTCAAGCAGGTGATGAGGCCTCAATTCAGTTGGCTTTGGGACATCGCTGCGTCGCGTTCTGTACATGACTATTCATATTGTTTGTGCGGTTCTGGTTGTGAAAGATTCTCTTCATGCGTTGCGGCAAGCCGTCTTGTCAGGTGGCCAACACTGTCGGCAAGCTGCAGTATCGGCTTTTGCTGTCCCAGTGGGAGAAAGGCAATATACAGCGACAGCTGCAAACTGTCGCCTGCCGGCAATGCCTTGGTCCGGGATCACTTTGTAGTAGGGCTGCTTCACGGCCGGCGTGAGCTTTCCTTAACGACTTGTAAGGGGATGTTTTGAAACCGTTGTCCTGTGTGCATTGTACACAGCCTGCACTGCCCTTCGGGCTTGTCACGGTCTCAGCATGTCAAGGCCACCCAGGACCTGCGGCAAGCGCGGCGGGAGCTGTTGGAGAACGAGGAGCAGGCCTTGGGTTTAGAGAGGGCTTGACTCGTGAAGCATGCTTTGATTTTCTGATGACTCTAAAGCTCCTCTTTCTCGGAGGTGGAGCAGGAGCGGCACGAGCACGACCAGACGGAGGAGCGGGTCAAAATGATGCTGAACGGGGAAAGTTGAGACGTTGATCCTGCGTCCCGTGTTCTGAGAGCCTCCCAGTAGTCCTCTCAGTCCTCTATAGTCCTCCTGTTCTCTTTCGGCCCCCCTTGCCCTCCCCCCCTTGCCCTCCTCATGCTCGTTTTTGAGAGGAGCTTCTCCGGCAGCGGCTCACTGAGGCATCCACGCAGGTGCACATGTGCACATGACTGCATGATTTAGATGTTTGGGGCGCTTTCTGGTTTAGGGGCAGTCTCGTTTCAGCCGGGTCTACATCTTTTACTTCACGCCACGTTCCTTGCGTCGAAGATCCTTTCAGTGGCAGCTTCTAGTACGCAGGCTGCGCAGCTTGCGGAGCAGAGTGCGGCGGCGATGCCGGTGGACAAGGCCCGGGGCGCGGCCGATGATGGGTTTGGGTTTGCTATATCTTCCCTGCGGAGAAAAATCTCTCGGTTCCGGGGGTTTCTGGTTCTTGAGTATCCTCCCTGACTTCATATATCCAGGGTATCGGTAGCTGAAAGCCTTGAATTGATAGCATATGTCTCTCACAGGCCAGGCAGCTGACCTCGCGCTTGGAGGAGATCTCCAGCCGCAAGATGGAGCTGGAGGAGACTCGGCATTGCATGACTCGGCGGTAAGATCTTGGGAAGCTTTGTGTTTGAGCTGGAGTGGTGCGTATGCTGATGGGCCGGCGACACGCATGCTGCGCCAGGAGCGTCTTTCCAATGTCCGGTTGGAGCTTCTCCGAAATCAGGCCATTCAGATGCTGCGCATGCTGGGATGTTTCACGCTGTCGAAGAGAGGTGTTCGTGCTCTAAATGTAGGCCCTGAGCTTTCGCCTCAGAATGGTCGTTTGAGCCTCCCATCTACGCTATGCCGGAGGCCGAGACAGACTCCTGCCGGCTCCGGGCACAACAGGCGCAGGAGCTGCTGGTGGAGCTGAAGGCGCAACGTAGGGCGAGGGGAGTCGGTTCAGGAGTCGGTTCAGCAGTCGGTTCAGGAGTCGGTTGAGGCTCGAGTCTGACATTTTTCGTGTTGAAGGGTTCGTTGAGGTCAAGGTCTTGAGAGGAACTTTGAGCTCTCCGAGGAGCAGCAAGAAGCCAGAGGCCCTAAGCCCCTCTTTTCAGGCCGCCTTCTCCTCGCCCGGAGGTTTCTTGCGTGTTGAACCGGTGTTGGTTCAGGCCCTCGATCCGGACTCGGAGGCGCCGAGACAGCGCCTTCTGGATATGGCGAAGTGTCTGGGACGAGTCTACGGGATTCGGGGGGTTTGGGGGTCCTCTGCGTCCCCCTGACTAAGGCATCTAAAGCTACTACTTAAAGCGAGAGAAAGAAAATCAGGACACCAAAGCGACAGAAGGTTTGCCTTCGGGGAATTGCGGGGCAAGGCCCTGCCCAGTTCAGCACTTCTCTCGTCCATTCGGTTGGCGTTCTTTTGCTGTTGAAGAAGGCTGACCATGAGGCTGAGTTGTGCTGAAGGTCTCTGAGTAATTCTCTGGATTGAGCCACCTGTGCAGCCACGGTGGTAAGTTTCGGGGAAGGTCTTGGATGGCACCCGGATACAACGCCCCAAAAGTAACGATCCGTGACGACCTTCCACACCCTAAGGAAGCTGGCGGATTCCAAGCTCCAGGAGCCTCCGGGAAGATGCAGCCAGGTTGCTGAGCCATCTGACGGAAAACATGGGGGCACTGCAGGCCGACTGTTTATGGCAATGGCATGCATCATACCATGCAGGAGTTGCAGCACAAGCGCAGCTTGGAAATCGTGAAGGCGTGGGGAAAGGAAGATCATTCCAACGAACATGTTCAGAGTCCAGAGCGATTTCAACGTGGTCCCATCACCTGAAGCAAGCGGGCGTTCAAGTTTGCCCATCCTCTGCCGGTTCCACACATAAAAACTTATGCGTCAACATACAGTGAGGTTGTGATGTGAAGAGAACGTCAGTGCCCCTCTTCGGGCCGCTTGTGCTGCAGGAGCAGCATCAACAGCTGGAGAAGGCACGGCAGGCAGGACAAGCCCAGACCTGCCTTTGGTCAGAGTCCGCTTTGGCGATGCTTGGCACGATCTGCTGGGATGATTTTCAGGCAGATGAAAAAGAGATTCAGAATCTTCAGCGGGAAGTGGCCAACGCCGAATCCAAGCTTGCTGATCAGGAGCACCGGGTATCACTGAAGCAATCGTTGGTTTCACTGAAGCAATCGATGTTCACTTTAGCCGATCCCTCTTGCGCAGTTCTAGAAGTTCCAGCAGTTCTAACCTTTTTGGACATCACTGTTTTCTTGCCGAAGCAGAGGGGAGCCAGATTTGGTTGACTGTTGACTTGTCTTCTCCAAGCAGCAGCTGCAATCAGGAGCAGCAGTGGCGTGCGAAAGTTCTCGAGGCGGGGATGGCCCCGGGAAGATGTGACGAAGTTGAGCCGCTGTGGGCAAGTTCCGAGGGCCCCCAAACTCCCGCCAAACGGGCCTTCGCGCTTGAGAAGGCGCAAGGCGCTGCTCCGGCGACCGCTGCCATCCGACGAACCGGGCAGGCACGAACCATGGCTATTGTGGGTTTAGGGGTTGTTTAGATGGCTTGGTTGTTTTGCACAGTCAGGCCACAAGCCGTGGAAATTTGGGCGGGGCTTTCTTCAGGAAGGGGAACCGGGGGGGGGGGCTGTCTGATGATGCGCAGGCATTGAGGGATTTCTTCGGTGTTCGAACTGCGCATCGTGTGTGTCGTTCCTGCCAGATCAGCATCGAAGCCTTGGAGGAGATTCAGGGCAAAGTCTCTGAGAGGGATGCCAGGCCAGGCATGGGTCGACCCCCTCTGGCGGAAGGGGATCCTAAGCATGTGAGACATCCCTGAAGCCTAACACCCAAGTGACCAAGTGCCAAAAGTCTCAGCTAGAACACCCAGAGCCATTTTCAAGGATTGCAGTGCTGGAGTCCGACCTCCAGAGGGCGAAGGCTGACCAGGAGAGCGCTGTGGCTGAGGAGCGCGGCAAGGCCTCGGGTACTCTCCGCTTGAGCATTGAATCAAATTGAGGCCAGCGTAGGGCGCGGAGGGCGCGGAGGGCGCGGAGGGCGCGGAGGGTGCGGAGGGCGCGGAGGGCGGAGGGCGCGGAGCGTGCGGAGCGCGGAGGGCGCGGAGGGCGCGGAGGGCGCGGAGCGGTGGAGAGTTTGAAAGAGACTCGAACTTCGGTGTTTAGCAAGTTCTGTTTTTCGGGGAAATCCGAGAGTGCTGCTGGAACGTTGCTATTTCCGATGTGCTATTCCACGGAGAGCTTGAATTCACTTGGCTGCCTTAGCCCCCCCTCACCTTCAACCTGGAGACTGTTGCAGCCATAGGTGCGCAAGCTGGAGCTGGAGTTGGGCTTGGTGGCTGAGGGGGACACGGCGAAGCTGCGCCAGGCTGCAACAAGCACAGGATGGTAGAGGGAGCCATTAATCCGGATCATACATGAAGACAGGCATGAAGACTGAATACAGCGTGCTGCAGGCCCTCCGTGCAGAGCACGATTCAGAGGTCGCACAGATCTCGCAGGCGGCGCAGGAGCTCGGTACTTTCAAGCAGCTTGAGGCTTCTCGAGGAAAGCCCTTGAACTCCTGGAGAGTTCCTGAACCTTTGCCTGTGACGCGAAGTAAGAAGGAGTCCGTGCAAACACTTCAGCAGCTCTTGGACCAGACGGAGGCCATTCTTCCCTTGAGGGAGCTTGCAGCTCTTGACGGTGGTGGTGGAGTTAGCCATAGCGCAGAAAGAGGTTGAAAGCATGCATGTAGGGTTCTGCGTCTTCCTGCATCTTGCTTTTGTCCTGGGTGCTTCAACTGTGTGAGGGGCAGGGCACAGCGGCCATAGTCTCATATTGCATGCAAGTGCTGCTCCAAGGAGCATCTGCAGCGGCAGCAGCAGGAGACTGGGTGATCTCCTCGGCAACGTTCCGTGACACTCCTGAGATGCGGATGCTGTTCCACAGCACCCAGGCGCCTGCACCAGAGCCTCTCTGAGCATCGAGCCAAGCATACAGAGGACAGCCCCGCCAGAGTTAAGCACACTAAACAATGACACGCAATGAAGAGCAAAGCCGGCAGCTTTTGACGTCTTTTGAGTAGTTAGCTGAGAGGCTGACACCGCCCAGATGCTGGCATGTAGTGAATGTAGTGCTCCAGATGAGGAGACCATGCAGCTGCAGCAAGCCTGGCCAGATTTGTGTGCAGTCGGGGAAGTCTTTTCCTGCGCCACGGGGTCCTTGTGGCTTTCGCAGAGTCAGCAGAGGGCGCCTGCAAACATAACCAGTTCTCCCTACCCCGCCCCCGCCCCCGCCCTCCCTACCTACCCTCGACCCCTCAGCATCTCAAAGCCGCAGGCAAGAGATTGCTGGACTACGACAAGAACTCTTGCAGGCGGCGAGTCCTGAGGGTTTAGTCAGCTGGGAGCGTTTGAACGGTTGAGCCATGTTGAGCCTCTTGCAGTGTGGCTTTCAGAAGGAGATGCCCAACTAAGCGTGCAAGAAAGTTCGCCGAGAAGTGTCTGAGAGGAACCAACACGGCAATACCTCAATCTTCCCACTTGTAAGTCAAGTCTCATTCGGTACCTAGCTGACTCGGGTCCCTGGGCTCTCTTGTGCAGCTCACTGCATGCCTTGACCTGAAAATGCTGGAGTAAACATCTGGCTTGATGGGCTTCATTGGCTTCGCCGGCTTCAGTGTCCAGGTCCGGCATCACCAGCAAGCTGATGTCGGTGCGTCAGCTTGGGCCTTGGAGGGTTCTTGCATGCTCTGAGTCATCTTCGTTGGGTTGCGATGTGGCAACCTGTGTGTGGGAGAGACTTCAGGCGTGGCTTGTCTCTTTATGCAGGTATGTTTGGCTGCTTCGGCTCCGGGTGAGACTTGAGCACACGAGCTGAGCATGGCAAGATTCTGGATCTCACGAGAGCTCGTGGCGAGGCTCGGCTGTCGCCACTGCCCCCACCGCCCTTGGATGAGAGCCCCAAGCTCAATTGGCCACTGCAATGATGTAGACGTTGCCGCGAGGAAGGAAATAGACAAAATGTTGTATGCAGGTGCCCGGTTGGGGGACTCAATCGGCTCCGAAGCCTTCGGTGGAATGGCAGGTCTGTGCTGGTGGGATTTGAGACTTCCGGGGTGCAGGATGAGATTCAGTTTCGCCACCCCGGGCCACCTGAAAACCATCTTGTCGATGTGCGAAGGTCGGTTTCTTTAAGGGTTGCAACTGCGCCCTGCAAGATGCACGTAGCCTGTTGTTACAGCCTCCCACAGGTCCATCTCCAAAACCAGGGCCTATGTGTCGAGACGAACCTTGTGGATGACAGGTTTAGGCGAGCGCCTGGATGAACAGAGGGAGCAGGCCTGACTGCTTCCTGCAGTTTTCGTGTTACATCGTGTGATCATTCTACCTTCGGCACCGGGCAAACGCAGAGCATTACGACCAGCCCTACTTTCAGCTGCAGGTTGTGTCGCTGCACCACCGGCTAGAGCAGCAACAGGAAGAGTTCCAAAGCCTCCTGGATCAGCAGCCCCTCGGATTACCGCACGATGTTAGCCTGCACATGAGCTGCTCTGTTCACCGCAGTCTTGGTGTTGTTGGAAGTTAGACGTGGCTATTCCCGAAGCAGCCTGGACCCAAAAAAGGCACCAAGAAGCTCGACGCAGAGAAGAGCAGCTGCGAGGACGGAGACTAAGGGGTTCTGCTCCTCGCGCTTTGAACCCACCGGAGGCCGCGAAGAACGGCTCCATCAGGCAAGCTGCTGGGGTTGTGCCGGCGTCAGCGCCGTTCTTCCTCTTTGTCTGTTCTCTCTTGGAGTTTGCCTGCTTAGATTCCCAAGAAGCCCCCAGTTCCAACGTAGGAAGGCAAAGGAATCATCGGCCGAGCTCCAACCCAAGCCGATGCGTTGAATCCCAGGAGTACCAGGCGAGAGAGCAGAGACTTCTGGACCTGCAGGAGGCCAGCTCTGTGAAAGCTTGGGCTGGATGTGGCTGGATTGGGCTGGCAGATTTGAGCAGAAAGGGTGAGGACAAGTGAGGCGAATGCAACGGAAAAGACTCTCGTCACCACAGTCACAGTCACAGTCACTTGAGTCGCCGTTGCCCGTCGTCGTTGCAGATTTGGCTCTTTCTCCGGAGTTCCAGGCACAGCGCCACCAAAGGGACCAAGAGTTGCTCCGCATCAAGGAGGAGTGGTTTTGGCGAGCCTTTGTGAAACAAGGTTGAGGCTTTCGACTGTTAGAAGCTTTGGGCTTCATCGCCCGCTGTTGCCGCCGGAAATCCGTGTGCGATTCTCACATCAAGAAGCCGACAGCAATCATCCAATCAACTTGTTGAATTCTAACCTTGTGTCACTTTGCCTTTAGAGGTACAGTTTGTGAGCCCTCTGCAGTTAAGATGCACTGTCCCATTCTGACTTTTCAAATTTATTTCAGATTCGGGCCCGGGGCAGATCCAAATAACTTTCCGAAAAGACTCAGTCGCGGGGTTTGCTCTTACGCTTGCCTCTAGGTGCTTGGCTGTATTTCTTGGTGTTCTGTGGGTTTTGTTTGTTTTTGAACTTGCTGCCATACATACATGCACATACACATACACATACATATACATATACATAAACATGTACATGTACATGCACGTATACATATACATATACATATACATATACATATACATATACATATACATATACATATACATATACATATACATATACATATACATATACATATACATATATATATATATATAGTCTGTTTTTCAGTTTTTGTTTCTACATTGTATTCTATTTTCTGGTTGTCCTTGTGGTTTGATTTCCGCGTAAATGAATTCCATTTGAGCGTTGCTGGTTTTAATATGTTGTGACTTCCCAAGCTGAACAGAGCACAGATTGCCTTAAATCTACAGGAGTTGGCCTCGCTACAGCACTCGGAGACCTCGGGTGCGAATGAGGCACAGCTCTCGCCGATGGAATTTATCGATTTGATTGATGTAGGCCTTATGTGGGTTGGATCCGTCCAGGTGTCGGAACATGCAGCATTCCTGCTTCCTGTCCAATCGTCTGTGAGTTTGGGCTGAATAGCGCCCACACACTGAAGAGCTTGGATTCGGCAACGAGTAGTTCTTTCGTCATGTAAAGGTCCGCTCTGACACTTGTCACACCTTGGTTGCACCTGTTGAACTGCCAGGCACATCAGCGGCTACACGAGCAGGCCAGGCTAGTCCCACCAAATGTTCCAGGGCTTGCATGGGCTTGCCTAAGCGCGAAGGTGGCAGAGGCGCAGAAGCATGCAGACCTTGCGCTTCAGCACAACGTCTGCTGGCTGCATCTTCCGAGCTGCGTGGCATGTTCCGGTACTTTGGCTCCGCGCTCCGTGCTCGTGCTGTCCGTTCTCTTCAATTTTGGAGTGGAGAGCAGCGTCTTGTTGAAGTTGCTGGAACGAGAGCCCAGGCCATGGCAGAGCAAAACCGGCTCTCAGCGGAGAGCTGGCAGCGCAAAGCTGAGGAGTTCGAGGCGCTTCCCGTTGCACTGGCATCGGCACGACGCTGTGCTGTAGCCCTGTCGAGGCAGAACTTCAAAAGGAACGGCAGAAGCACCAGGTCCCGGAGTTAAGTGGGTCGGGATTGGTGCCTGCCAGGATCTCAAAGGGGACGGGAGCATCATGACCGTCGTGTTACATCTGAATGGAGCTCTCTGCAGGATTCCACCATGCGGAAGCAGCAGGCTAGTCTCCGAAAGCAACTGGCCAAAAAGGAGGACACGCCGGACACGCGAGAGCTTGTGAAGCCTTTCAGCATCTAGACGATTATCCTCACAGCAAGTACTGCAGCATGTCCGCAGAGTGACTGGCTCAATTTGATTCCTGGCTGCTTTGGGTTTGGCAGCCTGAAGGCCTCGAGTACCGGGTTGTGGAGCTTTGCATAGTTTGGGTCTAGGTCTCATGTCCTTTTGTCTGTTTCTGCCATTGTTTCAGCATCGTCCTTGAGGTTGTGTGCACGAGACATCCGAGACTTTCCAGAACGACAAACCTTATGTTCAAGCATAGTCCATTGCACGAAATCATATAACTGTGACTATTGTAGATATGGTCACTTACTCATTTAGGCATACGTAACGCGATGGATGTTCACAAACAATTCATGCCAAAACCCCGCAACTCAGGTTCGTTGTAGCCTTCCAGAAACATGCCATTGTGCTGTCTCGTGAGGCTCCGTGTCCTGTCATCCGACGAGAGACATCCTCCGGTGTCAGGTGCCTGCTCTGTTAGACAGTACGGCATAGGACAGAAAAAACAAACAGCTTTTAAGATGTTTGAGAAGCTAGTCTCTAGGGACCGATTTTGGCTCCTGACGTTCTCTGCAATCAATGCTCCTCCCCTGACTGCAGGCATGGGCTGTTCCTCTAGCAGTGGCGTGTATCTCAGAAAATTGCTCAGATTCCCCAGTCTCGCGATGAGTCGCAATGAGGGTGTGAGTACATCGAAACACCTTGACGACTCAGGTTCCGCGAGTTGGTATCACCTGTACAACCCCGTTTCTAGCCCTGGCTGAAAGGTGCTCAGCCACGGACCCTAAAGGAGGTTTGGTGGCTCGGTCCGTCGGTCGGTCCGTCGATCCGTCGGTCCATCGGTCGGGTCGTCGGTCGGTCGGTTGGGTTCGTCCATGGGTCAGTCGGTGGTCAGTCAGTTCTACAAAAAGTTGAAGACAATACCCAGGTCCAATCTGTACTATTTGTCTAGCAGGTTGTAATGTAAACGTATATGTATATGTATATGTATATATATATATATATATATATTTATTTATTTCTTAATACGTATACGTGTATGTATGTATGTATGTATGTATGTATGTATGTATGTATGTATGTACGTATGTATGTATGTATGTACATATATATATATATATATATTACATGCACATAGATACATATACATAGGTACATAGGTACATAGATACATAGATACGTAGATACATAGATACATAGATACATAGATACATAGATACATAGATACATAGATACATAGATACATAGATACAAAAATACATAGATACATAGATACATAGATACATATATATATATATACATATGTACATATACATATACGTATACATATACATTTACACATGCACATGTATGCAAACCCCCCGGGATCCACCGTTTTGGTGGCTTACCATGTACAGAATCCCTTGTTATCGGTGTGCCCCAAATCTCGCTTCACCTCCTCATAATATTTCTTTGAACTGGTGGTACAGATCGGTCGCGGTTCAACACAACCCACCCGTAAAACCAGTATATTGGGAGAGCATCCCCCCTAGAACCAAATGAGCTGCCATTCCCTTGCTGGTCTCTGGACATCCACAAAAGAACAGAAATATTAAATTCAACTATATACTTTTGTATCGTCCCTCCTCCCCAATTTCCCTATGGGCTTCTGGCTAGAAGAAGTACACTCACAGAAGCCCATAAAGGGCAGTATACACCATCCTCTTCCTTTCACTTATCAGGCAAAATCAAAAACCCCCGCCTCAATGAAGCAACAGCCAAGGCATACCTAAACCCAAAGGCCAACATCGTGGGAGAACATCCCCCGTACTACAAAAGAGCAGCACAACATCTACAACATCTTTGTTTGAACAAAGAAAGCACCAAGTATCACAACAATCACATCCAAGCCTGTACTGCGCTTAAAACACTACGAAGCGACAGCAAAATGTTGACGATGCCCTTCCTTCTTAAAAATAGGTATCTCCGAATCTGCATGGAACATTGAATCCTACAGGAAAGAAGTCACCAGCGCTCACATAGCGAGGCTGTCGTTTCTATCTGCATTAGCAGTGGGGCGCGGACGCAGTCCGCCCCCCTCGGTGCTGTTGCTATGCGGCGAAGCTTCCGGAAAATTGTGTTGTGCGTTACTTGATTTAAGAGGTTTTCTTGACATGGCCGAGTGGGTCCTTGCATTGGAGCCCGCCTCGCCAATTCCCTAGCCGGAAGAGCTTTCGTTCCCCTGGCCCCGCCACTCAGCTAAATTTCCACGACCCGAATGCAGCGTAGAACAGGGCTTAATCTCAAAAGGACGACCTTACTCGTCTCCTTGCTAAAACCTCACCGCTTGAACAGCACAAGCAAAACATCAGGATGGATAGTAATTAACATTCAAACCACTAGCCCAAACAGTATTGCCACCATAGTTATGCAAAAGCTTTTGATGAAATTTCGTCACGCCATATCACGCCTCCAAGATTCAGACTAGCGACGGCAATAAAGAGGATGACGAGATACCTGCTCACAGTATTCTCGATGCACGGGATCTGCATCTGGTCGACGAGTCTGAACTCTTTTCCCCTGATGTGTTTTCAGAAATCCTGCCCTATGCCGGTGAGTGATGAAATGAGGTGCTGTTGAGATGATTGCGGACCACAAGTTCTTTCTTGAGGCTCGGTTTGCCAGTGGGGTGGAACGCTTGGTTGTGGTTCGCGTGCTGGAGTTTTCTCGCAGTCGACGTGGCCACTGGCAAAATTGCATGGATCTGCCAGTTCCCGGCTGCCTGCGTGCTTGCGCCCAGAATTCACCTAACTCGAACGCCGGTGAGTGCACAGTTGACAATGGCAAGTAAGAAGTATGTAGAATGTAGAAGATCCAAAGAACCCCAAACAGAAGCCTCCGGAGCTTTGAGATTTAAGCACGCATTCATCTGCAAACCACCTTGCACGCTGTGTGCCATTTGCCCCATCTTGAGAAGCGCTTACGAGCAGGGTCCAGCTGGCCCGTCCGAGACATCAGTTCCCTTTCCAGCAGCTCGGCTTCGGATACAGCAAGTTTGATTTTGCCCGGTGCTTCGAAACTGCGAGCCAGCTGAGGACCGCCAGAACAGCTACCACTCGATGACTTGCATTGGCCCCGAACCCTGGCTGCAAAGGAGCCGGATGGAGGATGCCGCGCTCTCTGATAATCGGCAGGTCGGCATGTTCGTACCTCTCATTGGTCCGCTTTCAAATGCATAGCTCAAGCAAAAGCTGCATACCTCTGCGAGCCATGCACACTCCCAGGCAAACTCGGCCCACGCCTCCCCACCGAACAGCTCGTCGCATTCCAGACACTTGAAACGGCATCCTTGGCTGACGTAAGACGCGATGAAGATGGTTTCATGCAATCTTAAGAAGGTGAGGTGTGGAACGTTTGCATAGGTTTGCGCAAATCGTACCGGGAGTGGTGCCGCACGGAAGATGAGCGAGCAACCAAGGTGGGGCTAGAGACCTGGTGATGTTCTGCCCGTACCGCAGGGAAATAAGTTACATCCATCTTTGTTCACCTTTTTCCCAAAAGCGTTGCGAAGGGTTTTTTATTGGAGGTGGTCTTCGGAAAGGTTCTTCCTTGCATATTTCGTTGTATAAATGGATGTCGTGATGGATGATACATGGATGGATGGCTTTCTTGGTAAATTGACGTGTTTAAAGCGCTGGGTAGGGTTGGCGGGATTCGCCGCCCAGTCAACAATCGCGCTGGGTCGTGGGAGGCGCTCAAATTTTGGTCCGCGAACGACAAGCCTGTCGGTGTGCTTGGGGCGTCGTTGCGCTGGCGCGTGGGAGGCGTTCGCATTTCAGTTCGCGAACGACAACCCTCTCGCTGTGTGAGGGGCGTCATTGCGCTGGCGCGTGGGAGTCGTTCGCATTTTCTCCTCCTGGTATTCTCGGGGTGCCGTGACGCTGGCTCTTGGGAGGCGTTTGCATGTTTAAGCGCGAACGACAGCCCTCTCGGTGTTCCGGGGGCGCCGTGCCACTGGTGCGTGGGAGGTGTTCACATTTAGCGGAAATTTGGCATTCCACTTTGCTTGAAGGCATCATGTTTGCTGTGAGGAGGCTCCCTGAAACCGAAGCCTAGTGCATGCAGTTCTTCTTCTGGTCTTCTGTTGCGTGGGGAGGGTCTTTCAGCGGAGGTGGTCTTCGGAAAGGTTCCTCGTTATTTCGTTGACGCACGGATGGATGTCGTGATGGATGATGTGTGGATGGATGGCGTGATGGATTTCGTGATTATCAGCTATAACTTAGCCAGGTCTGAATCGTGGCTCTAAAGCGCTTTCGGGACAACCGTGCTCTAGTTTCTGTCAGAATGTCAGCTTTTGGGGCTCCAGAACCACGATCTAAGGCTCAACGACTTTCAAAAGGACGTGCAAGTGAATCCTGAACGGCTGGTGGGTCGAGTGAAACTGATGCGTGCAGGTATGCAACTGCACACTCCGAATGGCAGGATCTTTGGCTCGTGAGCATGAGATCAGCCGTGTTTCGAGCGGCCGACAGCAATGCACCAGGCAGTGGCGCACGTAAGGTTGTCTTCCTTCGTTGCCGTTGCCTGTGATTTAAGTCTGACCTGGGCCTGGACAAACGTCAAGACTTAGGAACGGACAGGAGTGCTTGGTCCAAGGCTTGAATGTACCAAGTGGTGCATCCTTTATCAAGGAGGTCATCATTTTTCTCAATTCTACTTTGCTTTCATTCTTGCATCCTCAAGCTGAACGATCAGCTGGGGACAACTTGCATATGGCTAGCCTCACAGATTCACAGCATACGCGGGACCTGGAACCAGAACTGGTCGGAGGTTTCCGATTTCCCTGACCAACTTTCCAATCTTCTTGCGTTCAAGGAATATGGTGGGATTCTGGTTCACGGGCCCGTGTGGCGCGCGCTCAGGTTCAAAGCCTGTGATGCGAAATGCCCAGAGTGTAGAGCAGCCGAGTGTTTCTCAAACTGCATGTGCAAGCCTTTGAACCATTTTTTTCGCCAGGCAGCAAGCTCGGAGCAAGTTACGCTGCTAGAAAAGGATGCTTGTGTTGGAGTTTGATTTGTGCTACAAATCGTAGGTTGGCTGAGAAGGACATCTTCAAAGAAAGAGCTTGATGCTTGCGGAGCATGTGCTGTTCTTGGCCCTTTCCAACCCTTCGTCGACAGCTCTGGAGCCAGTAGCTCGAAGTTTGATGTTGGCTGGAGCAGAGCTTTATTGGCCCATTTTTATAAAACCACGCACCATTCGTGGTCTAAACGGTAGGCTTCGAAGGCCCGCGGGCAAGCTTGTATGTTTGCACCGTGACTGCTGAGCAGATCGGTGTTCTTTAAGAAATTGAGTGTCCCTTCCAGTGTGCCCATCCTTCCCCTTTGGCTTTGGCTAGATGAACCTGGGTCTTACCTACGGGTTTTTGCTTGGGTTGTGGAAAATGCCAACATTTTGCCATAGAATATTGGCAGGCCCAGCATGCCACGCAGGGGTTCGGGCCAGAAACTTGGAGCGACACAGAGCGAGCTGCTCCAAGAAAGGGCGGTTCTGCCGCATCTCCGTGAGTGAGGCAGCCAGCAGCCAGCAGCCGTAGTAGAACCAGGCAGTATTCTTCGACTGAGACAACAGCTGCCCGCGGTAAGGCAGTGTTGCAACTTCAAAGCACTGGAGAAGTAGTGACTGGTTGCCGCGGCTGCTTCAGGAGGTTCAGCCACTAATGCTTGTGTCGCTGGCATTGGTAGCATCGAATTCGTCACGTGCTTCTTTTTTTATTTTTACATGGAAGACTGGCGAGAAGCCATGCGAAAAGCCGGAAACCCAAGCCGTCCTCCCTCTTTTTCAGGAATCTGCTCTTGTATTTGTGGGTAGTACTGGCAACCCAGAAACCGCTGCGCTGGTGTCAACCCACGAGGAGCAGCTTGGCAGCTTGCGAAAGGCTGTGGAGGACACACCTTAGCCTTGTTGTAGCCTTGTTCGGCTCCGATTCATGCTCATGAGACGAAGCTGCTGTTGAGCATGGGGGTGCCTTTTCACAGTATGCAAATTGATAGCTTTGGGTAAGTTACGGCACAAGACGGCCGAGGAAGCATGCCTCTTGTCGTTGCCCTGCTGTCGTGCGTGAATCCTTCAGACTCATTCCGCTACTATCTGTGAACTCCTCGAACCAGCCTCCGAACCCTCTATTGCGCACTATCCCTGCCTCTCTGCCAGCCCCTGCCCTGAGGAGTTGAAAGACCGCGTCGTGCAGCTGACCATTCGAAACGAGAGTGAAGAACTTGAGTCTTTGATGAAGTGGCCATACGTGGCTTGCGCGGACTCCTAGCAAGTCCTATGGCTGCTCAGGAGTCTGGCAACGCTCGACGTGCCGAGTCGGAGGACAGAGCCCAGACCAGCTACAAGATGCAACGGGTTGCAACGGGTTGCAACGGGGTGCAACGTGCTCTCTGGAATTCTCTCCCTACAGGTGCGGAAGCGCATCACTGGGCAGGAGGAAAAGGTGCAGACTCTGAAAGATCAGGTGGGGATGGGTAGTACCATGGTTCTATCAGTGATGCGCGCCGTGCAGTGCACAGTTTCCTTCCATCCTGCTTCTCAAAGCCGAGTCGTAGGTGGTGCGCCTCTCCAAGCAGCTCCAGGCGCAGTATGGCGAAATGGGCTTGGGGTTCCATCTCGTAGGGACCTGAATCATTTTGGTCCATCCGGATGGTATGTAGCAGTTTGGCAAGAACACAGCTGTCTTGGGCTTTTGCAGGATTCATGTGTGCAGTCTTGCTGCAAAAGCTAAGGCCGCTTGCGTTCCACAAAGTAAGGGCAGCTTCGTGCTGAAAAAATGTGTTTCAGCTTACGTGCGGAAGTGGAGGAAGCTGCTGGGTTCAGATGCCACTGCTTTGCTGAAGCGCCGTGCCAGGAGCAAAAGGCGCAGGCAACCCACGAAGCAGCACGTGCAGGGGAGCTGGACTGGGCGCAGAGATCTTTTCTCTGGCTTCGGCTTCCTCAGCCTAGGCCACTGCCAAAACCACAACCTCCAAGCCCCTACACGGACTGTGAAACCTGACCAGTCGTCGCTTCCTAAACTACGCGTGCTCCACGCTGTGCGAAGTTCTTGAGACTTCCTGCGGGCTGTGCAAAAGACAGCGACATCCCGAACTACCTGAGCAGCTCCTTTCCGAGCCGTTGAACAATGCCGGGAAGGTTTCCTTTGGACATTGGAGGTTTCGAAACACTGCACCCGTGTAACATTACGTAACATGATGTAACATTATGTAACATTGTGTACATTGTGTTACATTGTGTAACATTGTGTAGCATTGTAACGCATACGTAGCACGGCCGTCGCTGGTGCGGAAGGAAGAGAGAAGGGTCCACCCCTATGCGAGGTCAGATGCCTGACAACCTCAAAAACCTTCAAGTTTGCCCCGGGTTGCCATTTGCTAGTTGCTGAGCCTCGCCTCTTTTTTTCTGTGATTATTTTTCTCTTCGGGTTTTTCGTTGTGTATCCGCTTTTTCCATGGAAGATTGCCGCAGATTTCTCAGGACTCCCGGGAGGCAGTTCTGGGGCAGCTTCTGGAGGCCCTTCAGAGCGGGCTTTCGTCACCCCGTGTTTTATTGTCACCGTTTTTGTTTTGGGGAGCACCTGGAGCTTATATTCCCAGTGGTGCAACACCAGGCTGCTGCTGCCCAGCTGGCGGAAAAGGCGGCGGAAGCCCGACGCTTTGAGGCTGCGCCCAGCCCGCGAACCTTTGAGACTCCTGAGCCACAAACTCGCCTTCTCTGGAAGCCGCAAAGAGGAGCAGCTCGTGCGCCAAACGAGGCGGGCCACAGAGGCCGAGGAGGCATCGGTTAGGGTAGACTCGGGGGTATTAGGGGCTCAGTGCTGCTTCGGGGACTCAGTTTGGGTATGTATCTGATATGGTCTGAATCGCCGATGGTGAATGTGTCTAGTAAACCACGTTTAAGACTGTGCGCTTATGAAGGAACTATGCTCCGTTGAACACGCCATGCAGATGTCCAGGGCCTCGTGAGTGGGACCTGGTTCGTCTGTAGGACGATGGCTTGTTAAAGGTAAAACCGCGAAACCACACATGCTACGCTCAGTGCTGGATCTCTAGGTCGCTGTGCTGGCTCTGCCGCTCATCTTGCTGCATGCCTGGTGGTGTGAAGGTTGTGTGAGCTCCGCTTAACAGCCTCGCAGGCACTTCGGGGTGAACGCGGCGTGGCCGAGGGTGAGGTGCTCCACCATTCCACAGCTTTTTGAGACATCCTGTTTTCGAAGAATGCTAGCGGCAGTCTGATTGTGCGCCTGTAGTACCACTACCACTACCACCACTACCACTACCACTACCACTACCACTACCAGTACCAGTACCACTACCACTATACCAGTACCAGTACCAGTGCCAGTGCCAGTGCCAGTGCCAGTACCAGTACCAGTACCAGTACCAGTACTACCACTGCCACTACCAGCACTACCACGAAAAGTACTACCACACCAGCACTACCATTCCTCCTCCTCCTCCTACTACTACTACTACGACGACTACTACGACGACAACGACGACGACGACTACTACTACTACTACTACTACTCCTGCTGCGGCTGCTGCGGCTGCTGCTGCTAGTACTACTACTACTACTGCTGCTGCTACTACTACTACTACTACTACAACTCTTACTACCACTACTACTACTACTACTACTACTACTACTGCTGCTGCTACTACTACTACTACTACTACTACTACTACCACTACCACTACCGCTACTACTACTACTACTACTACTACTACTACTACTACTACTACTACTACTACTACTACTACTACTACTACTACTACTACTACTACTACTACAATTGTTCTTATTACTACTACTACTACTACTTCTACTACTACTACTACTACTACTACTACTACTACTACTACTACTATTACTATTCCTACTACTACTACTACTACTACTACTACTACTACTACTACTACTACTACTACTACTACTACTACTACTACTACTTTTCTATTACTATTCCTACTACTACTACTACTACTACTACTACTACTACTATTATTACTACTACTTGTGAGCAGGTCTAAGCACGCACGTTGCATGTGCAGAGCTGCCGGGACCAGTACTGTAGTCTTCTTTGCATGTGTAGGTTTGCAATTCGTTTCAATGCCAATTTTGGCTCAAGTACCGAGCTTGTGCCTTTGAGCACGGTAGTGTCGTACAGTAGCTCTTAGGTTGCTGTGCGGTCCGACCGGACGCACTCAGGCGTAGCTGCACAAGTGCTTGAACTCGCGAAGTCGTAAAACAGCGTGACCGGGCTGTGATTGCATTGGCTTAGTGCAAGTCCAGTGCTGGTCGACTTCACAATTGGGGGCTGTTCTGGGAAATACAGCTCTTGTGCCTACGGCCCGAGTGGGCAAGCATTGCTTTGCTTGTCTGTCGCGGTCCGTGACCTGGACGCGTGGACTGTGTGCCACGCTTGCGGCCTGTTAACCAAGGCGCGGCGCTTCGCGTGCCACGCCTGCGGCCTGTTTACCAAGGCGCGGCAATGTCCGCAGAGGTAGCAGGTCAGGCCGAGGGCGTCACCCTCCTCGAAGCTATCGAGGGTGGAGACGTTCCCTATCCCGAGCGGATGAGCTACGTCGCTTGGCTTAAGTGGCGTAGGGAGACTGGCAGCCGTCCGTTGTCCAAGCGGGATGGGATCAGTACTACGCCAGAGCAAGAGGCGGCTCTCTGGCGGAAAGTCATGAAGTTCCTCCATGACGCCGAAGACGAGGACGAGGATGAGGAGGAAGAAGAAGAGGACTCCGAGCTAGTCCCTGAGGCCTCGGGCACTGGAGGCGACAGTCCGCCGCGGGTGGACGTCAGCGCCGCGGCTAGGGAGCTGGCCATGGTCCCTACCGGTGCTGCCTATGCCCCTGCTACGGCACCGGGGTCCCGCCCGGCGGGACCGTCCGGTCCGCCGTCGACAGCAGGTTCGGTGCCAGGCACCGCAGAGGGCTTGCAGGCGGAGCTGCGCGCGATTTTCCGTCCAGACCAGGAACCGGTCGCGGACTACTTGACGCGCGTTTCGCGGATTGTCCTCGCGCTGAAAGCGCATGGAGTCACGGTGAGCTCCCGTGACCTTGACGCCTTAAGCACCAAAGCCACCCTCCTTGCGGATGAGTTCTCCAAGATAGGCGGGGACTGGCATCCGACAAAGATGGTCCGTCGGCTGCGGACCAGATTCTCGGTCGCGGCTTTGCGCGGTGGCGAGGACCCCGAAGACGCAGAGGAGATTCAGCGCGAAATCCAATGCATCGGGGAGCTTATCCTCGCGCTAGGGGGAAAAGAAAGCTCGAGCCAAGAGAAGGTTTGGAGCTCCCCGTCCGATGTGCCAGTTGAAGCCGTGGGGCCGCGTTCCCCAGGGCTCCCACAGCCTGCGACTGCAAGTGGGTTGGGGGTAGGTTTGGACCGTGGAGGTTTGCACACTGCCGAGGTTGCAGGTGGTCCTTCCGCGGCCCGTGACCTGGGCGCGACGGACGGCGATTCCCCTTTGCGCGCGAAGCTTGCGGCGCTGGAGATGGAGATAGAAGCCCTGAAGCGAGGTTCAGACGGCGGAGGTTCGCAGACCGGGTCCCAAAACCCGGCGGGCGATTTCGCCGCCGCACTCGCCGCCCAAACTGAAGCGCTGAAAGAAGCGTTAGCGCAGAGGGGCGGGCAAAGCTCCATAACGACGGTCAAAACTGACCTCACGTGGCCGACGCTGACCGACGACAAGTCGGACGCGCGAGACGTTGTCCTGTTCTACGAGGATTTCGAGGACGTCTGCGCGCTGGCCAACAACTGCCGCGGTATGAGTGCGCGCGAGAAGCTGCTAGCGCTACGCGGGCGCTGCCGCGGCTCGCGCATGAAGACGTACACGAACGCGTACCGCGCGGCGTGGAAGTCGGGAGAGGTTCTCTCCGATCCACAGGCGGTGTACGACCGCATCAAGAACAAGCACTTGATGTTCGGGGAATCGCGGGAGGAAAGAGAAGTCCGCGTGGATGGTGAGCATGCCTCCCTCGCTAAGGGTAAGCTCACAGGCCACCAATTCGAGCCTTTGTTTGAGGCATCGATCGCGGACCTTGAGGCGGTGGGTCTTGGGAAGACCCCACGAGAGTTGTATCTCTCGTACCTCCGCAAGATGCCCCCGTATCTCCAAAAGGAGATACGTAACGACAAGCGGTTGTGGCCCGGCGATCCCAAGGATGGCGGGCTGCGAGGGCCGCAGACTTGGGAGGAGAGCCACAAGGTCGTCTTGGAGTACGAACAGAGGGAAGCAGCTCACCGGGCTGTTTCCCACTCTGTGTACTCAGCGACCGGCTCTCAGAGCGCGGACCCGTCGGTCGCGCTAGCCGAGGCTCAGAAGGAGATTAGGAGCCTCAAGGCCGCTGCGAAGGCTGCTGCGAAAGGAGCAGCTGCCGCGGCCAAAGCTGGCGCGGATCAGACGTTTGCCGCTGCGTCGAAGGGAGCTGGCAAAGGAGCGGACAAGAAGATCTGCTTCCACTTTCGCGACCACGGGAATTGCCCGAAAGGGGATGCCTGCCCGTACAGCCACGACAAGGAGCTTCGCAGAAAAGCTCTCGCGGCCAAGAAGGGTGACCAAACCTTTGCCACGGCGAAAGGTAAGGGCAAGGGGAAGGGAGGTGGCAAGGCAAAGGCCAACGCAAAGCCTAAGGCTGCGGCCAAAGGCGCGGCAAAGCCACCAGGCACTGTTTGCCCCTTTTTCTCCAAGAATGGGTCGTGCAAGAAAGGAGCCAGCTGCGACATGGTCCACAACCTGACGACCTCAGGAGGGACGCCGGCCTTGCCTGCCAACTGGGCCCCGCCCTCCGGTGCTTCCATGTCTAACCCCTTCGCCGCGTTCAGTGTCCAGATAGGCAGCTCAGGCGTCCAGGCAGGCGTCTCAGGAGCCGCAGGACGCGCCGCGGTGCAGCAGCACGCGCTTCCGTTGAGCAAGGGCGGGCGGGACAAGTTCGCCACCCTGGACGATCTGCCGAAGGACTGGTGGAGCCTGGCAGACAACGAGCCAGGAGGCTACCAGTACAGAACGGTAGTCCAGGTGCTCGACCGTAAGGTCGAGTGCATGCTCGACGGATGCGCCGGCGCAAACCACGTGACAGAGGAACTCGTGGTGGGCATGATGAACCGGGCTGCAGAGCTGGGGATCGGCACCGAAGATCCCGGCTTCCCGGTCGTGAGACTCGAAAAGTGGGTCCACCCCGAATACGTGCATGGCATTGCTTCGGGAGCCCCCGTTCCTCTGAAGGGGGCAGCAGTCTTGCGCGTCACGCTGCTGGAAGGCAGGACGGCGGACGACTGTCGCCCCAATACTGAAATTTTCGTGCGATGCAAAATCGCTGCCAGGGGGACGTCCGATTGGCACGGGCTGATCCTCGGCGGCAGAGCGTTGGACTGCGCCGGAAGGATGGGCCTGGGTTTCAGGCCGGGTCCCGACTTTCACGTCCTCGACACGCTGGGAATCAGGATGCCCAGATGTGAGGATCACAGCAAGACCCGGAAGGACAGGGCCTACGCCTTTGAAGCGCGGTTGTCAAGCCTGGACGACGCGTCATGCACCGAGCCTGGGGGCGGAAGTCGTGAGCTTCTCCGCTATGACGGGGAAGAGCCGCTCGAGCTCTCGCCAGGTGATGGGGTGCTGGTGCCAGTCGTGCGGGAGACAGGAGTCTCCGCAGAGGGATCCCTGTCCGAAGTTGTGCTTCCGGTTGAGTGTGGGGTTGAGGCTGTGCCAGGTCAGGAGAGGGTAAGGGGTTTGTTTTGCTTGCAGCCCAAGAGTGTGACCACTCTCTCCAGCGGGGCGAGGTTGTTGCGGAAGTGCGTTCCGGCCTCGTCAGCACTGCGGCTTGTGGTTGTGGCGCGATTGAGACGGTGTTCGAGTCGGAGCCGTCTCCGCAGGCATGTGCGGATTGTGGGGTCGCCGTTGCTACGGTTGACCATGACCCGTGCTTTGCTTGCGGGTCCGCGTCCAGGGCCGCGGCAAGAAGCTTCCAAGGTTGTTCCTCGTGTGCGCGGTCCTTTGGGCGGCTGCGTACCGGCGCCAGGATCGGTGTGCTATCGGTCCTTGCTGCGGTGACTGTTCTCGCTTCGGTGTGGGGCGGGAGCGGCCCGGTTGGGCGCCCTGTTGAGGAGCCTGGAGTGCTTACTTGCTTGGACCACCTTCCAAGCGTCGACAGCTGGTGG